TTTTATATTTAGAATTTTAAACTTGTAAAATTTATATCTATTTACTAAAATAATTTTGAGGCTATTCATTTTATAAGTAGGAGGTTCATTATTCATTTGACCCATTTAATTTTCTATAGACGAATCAATTAAATAATTAGTTGCACTCTTTTTTTTATTAGTATAATCGAACTCATGATCTTGAATTGATTTTATCTTCCACAAAAACATGTCATCATCCAGTGGGTTATATTATGTGAATTAATATATAAATTATATATAATAATGGACTTTTCATAATTGTTTAAAAGATGTAATATGATTGTAGAAAGTAAAAAAATAATAATAATCAAGATTGATATATCATCTCTACAATCTTCGTAAAATAACAAATATCACAGTTTCATATCTAACATTAGAAAGTGTTAGGAATAATAGGGAAATAACTTCAGAGAGAAAGATAAACTCACACGGATGAACATGAAGTTGTGGGAAGTCTTGAAGTACGAGTTAGACGCTTTCCAAAGAGTATATTTACCCTCCACACAAAGTTGTTTCGGATTAAGATAAAGTGCCATCGGGATACAACGAGACGTGTGTTTCTTCCTCGAGAAGTAAACTCAGAAAAAACCCTTACTTTTACTCTTTTCTTCTTTAGAATGGATGGAAGATTGCATGATATTTCAAACTCCAAATGATGGGTTTATATAGGCATATCATGTTAAGTTACTTCATTAAATCAAACAAGTTACATAGTAATTGAATGATATGTAACATAAACTTGTAATTACTTTTTACATAAAGAAAAAATTTTCATTCAATTGAAAACTCTTGTTAATTAATTGAAGGTAATTTAATCTTATTGAATTTGTAATCTATTTTCAATAAAAAGTAAAACAAAAAAAATAGATATTAATATGTATTCATGATTAATAAAATTTGGTGTAGACGGTATTTTTGGTTCATGATTTTGATTTGTTGGTACAGTACACTAGTTACACCTATACAAGAAGATACAACACTTTACAAAAAGAGTTTTTTTTTTATGGGACAATGGTTATTTAAAATAATCTAAAAAGTCTTGTAAATAACATATATATACATATATATATATATATATTTGGTTTTTAATTAACTCAAACTAAAGTTAATCACATCTATTTTAACGTAAACAAAACAAAAATATTTATTGTATAATTATTGTAAAAATCAATTTCATTTTATGAGAATAATTAGCCAAAAAGATCAATAATACAAGCGTCAATAAAATGTGGTAAACGTTAAAAGGGAATGAGTTTCTAGATGGACCGTTAATCGTCCCTGTTTGGTCGGTCACTGTCTGGAATGGGTATTAGATTCTTCTCAAAAGCGACTTAGGTGTGACTGTTTTTTTTTTTTTTTGATGAAATGTGATTGAATTAATACCAAAGAAAACAAATGTCATAATATTTACAAATTAGAGATAGCTCTAAACAGATCTCCCATAAACAGATGGGAAAAATTACATGTTCCTACATGAAGTAATGCGATACCACTGTTGTAATAATTTGTTTTCTGTCGCGCCCGGATTATGGAGAGAGATTAGTTTGTTCCTCATGGTCCGATCAACTTTGAGTCTTGCTTGATGGATAGTAAGGTGTTGGTCTCTATGAATGCGAGAATTTCTTTCCATCCAAATGGTGTATGTGATAACCTGCGTGAGTAACTTCTTAATCGTAGCTTCGTCACGGTTCGTAGATTGGTTGGTCCAATCCAGAAAGTATCGGATATGTGTCGGAGGGGGGTCTTCCATTAGCCGTCCAAAGTGCAACCAAATCGAGCGACTAAATCTACAACCAAAGAACAGGTGGGGATGTGATTCCAAGTCGGCGCAACATAGAATGCACCGATTCGGAGCTTGGATTCCCCACGTCTCGAGCCGGTCGGTAGTCGGGAGACGTTCTTGGAGCACCTGCCACGTTAAGAACGCATGCCTTGGAGTAGCCTGTCGGAACCATGCTAAGCCACAACCTTCAAACGCAGTTCCCGGAGATCTTAGTTGTTCCCATGTTTGCCTAGAGGAAAAGAAGGTCTTTCGAGTGCCTCCCATGTGTCGCCAGGTTGGGAGGTTCGGACCAGCATCATTAGTCGGTGGATTCAGCTCTAGCAGCTTCAGATGTAGCTCTTGTATTCTTAGGTGTGACTGTTAAACGACACGTCATGTTCTTTGTGCCTACCCAATTTTATTATTTTTTTTTTGTCATTTTCGTATTTTCAATTTATTATTTTTTTGTGAAAAAGCAAAAATAATTAAAATTGAGAAAGAAACGTCCTTTGTCATATGCAAAGAGTTATCCCTCTCTCGAGAAGAGACGTCCATCGTCGGCACTTCCAACAAAAACTAAAATTGACCACTTCCAAAGATCATATTCTCCCTCTTTCTATCCTTTTCTTAAATGCATTATATAATATATATATATATATATATATATGCCAAAGATACCGTTCCGTATTTGTACGGTCATCCTGAACCGCGGCTCAAATATGACGAGAAATTGCGTATGCATTCATAAAATATAAAAAATATATATATATATATATATATATATATATATATATATATATATCAAAAGAAAAATGATCGTTAATTCTAAACCAAAAATAGGGATAAAAAGATGAAAAAGCTACCCCATTATAGAATCTTATTTTTCATATATATGAGTGTCATTATCTCACAAATCTAAAATTTTTAAAATTTATTATTGAAGAAATCTTCTGAAATAAATAAAAAATCTTTAAGAAAGATATTTTTTTTTTCTTATCTTTGTAACTTTCTCTTGATGAATTATCTATATATTTTCTAATTTTGATGTTTGTTATCTTAATACTTTTTAAAATATATATATATATATATATAGGAAAACAGCTATTTCTGAGCTCTGCATCCCTCATATAGCTTCTTTCCCTTTAATATATTTCATTCTTTAATGTTTCGTAATAATTTTTATTTTTTTCTGGTCAAAATCCTGGTCTATTGGTTTACGTTTCAAGAATATAAGTGATTGAATAGATTATTCTTTTCTATTTCGTATTATTTTTCTCAATTGTTTTGGGTATCATGCTAAGCCTTACATCGTTGATTTCGTCGGTTTTATCAAAAAAATATTAATATAAAGAATAAAAAGATCGTTAAAACTTTATTTGAATTATAAACTATAAAAGATAAGAGATGTTAAAGTTGATTGTAATAATATTGATGTAAGATTCCGATTTTTGAAAATGTAAGAATAGGAAAAGAATGGAAAGAAAAAGAAAAATATTTGTTGAAAATAATTTAAAAATAAAAAAATTCAGTATAATATTAAGAGATGGTTTGATATTAAAAGTTTAGCTTATAAAATCGATTTTTTTGAGGATAGATGTCAAATTAAAATATTTTAACATAATTAATAATAACAATATTATTTTATCAATTTTTTTTAAAATATATCATAGAAAAATAGTTTTGTAACTTGTATTATTTTGACGTTTATATAAAATATAAGATTTTTATTCGTAATGTTAATGTATTATAGAAAAGAGAAAATAAAAAAGATAGAGAATTTATAGTGTTTATATCTAATATTTATATTTGAATGAATAAAAAATGTTAAAAATATCTCATAATGTTATTTATTTATACTAAAATTATAAATGTAATATATTTTGGTATATAAAAGATTTTACTTTATTATATTTTTAAAACACATCTTACGTTTACCCATCACTTACATTTTTTTTCATCTTTTAGAATTTAAAATTACCACAATCAAGAACTTGCCTGTTATATTATTATCCATCTTAATTATGCATTAGAAGCACATACAACAAAAGCTATCATAATTTAGAAACATTTTTTTAACATTATTAAAGTTGAAACACTTTGACACCCCAAAATCATTCTACAAAAGTACAAAAGATGTTCAATTAGATTAAGCAATACTAAACATCAGCCAAATTTTGTAATTTTAAAATACTGAAAATAATTTCATACATACATTTTAATTCCAACCTAAATTAGGTTTACGGTTAATTTCAATTTATAAAATCTAAACTCGAAAACCCAATTTATTGAAATAATCGATTTTTGAACAATCAATTAATATGCATATCAAATGAATATTAAAAAATCTCATAACTTTTTCACATATACAAAAAATCATCCAAAAATATATTTTAAAAAATCAATTAGGTTCCATAATATCCACACACAACATAAAATACATACTTAAATAATATATATATATATATATATATATATGTGTATGTATATAAAGAAGAATATGTGAAATTCATAGTTGCCTCACTTAGTGGGTATCCCCCACCACCACCAACTCCACAAAAGTCAATTTCCACACACACAAAAAAAAAAAAAAAAAAAATCGGAAAAGTCATTCTCCTTTTGTATTCCCTTCTTTACATATAAAATACCCTAAATACATTTATTTCCGAATTCAACACACAGGAGAATTCCACATTCTCTCCCCCCCAAAAAAAAAAAAAAAAAAAGCCTTTACTTCTCACTGAGTATTCTTCTTCACTTGTTCATACAGAAGGGAAGGAATCATAATGAAGGCGAGAAAGGGTTACATAGCGATCCAAGTGAGGTTAGAGGAGGAAGACGAGCGTTACAAGCGATTCGAAATCCCGATATCCCATCTGTACCATCCTCTGTTCAGAGAGCTTCTTGACAGAGCTTATGATGTTTATGGTTACCATTCGAATGGCCCCTTGAGACTGCCTTGTTCCGTCGATGATTTCCTCCAAATCCGGTGGCAGATCGAGCGAGAATCTTCGTATCATCACCATCACCATCACCATCACCATCACCATCACCATCATCTCCCTCTTACTCTTCATTTCCTCTCTTGTTGAGACGATGACTTTGTTTGCGTGGTATTGCTTCCAACTTTTTATTGTAAGCTGCCATAGTGAGCTTGGAGTTTCGTTGGTTGAAGGGTCGCTTGAAAGTTTCAATCTTTTTTAATTTTATGGTTATTGGATTCTATGATTATGAGTGTATGTGTGGAAGTATGGAGATTTATTTGAACGAAAAAACATTGTTCATTAGAACACTGAGTATGAAGAAATTGCTCAGCACATATACAAATCTCACGAGTACTTTGATAAACTTGCTATGGACCCGTTGCCTCCATTCGAAGTTATCGCAGTCTATGCCCGCAAATCCATAATCCATTGGACGGCATCTCGTCTTTAAGACATCCAGAAACTGCTGTCAGAGATTCTAGCAGGTTCAGATGGGGTAAAGTCCATGTCTTGTTCGGATCCGAGATGTCCCGTTGATACATCTTGAAGTCCTTCAACTCCGGAGTTCATGTTTTTGTCTGAAAATTGTTCCTCACCAGCATTTGTTTCAGCTTGGTTCGACACCGAGGTTCCTCTTTCCGCAATCCGTGTCTTCATCCGTGATTTTCTTTGAGATGAATGTGAGATTCTGAATGTTTTCGACGGTGACAGTTACCGTGATTTGCGAACCGAGAATCGGCGGCGTGTGGAAGAAGCCATTGTTTGAGTTCATGAAAAATCCCATATCCAGACATCGGAACTGTTCTTGAACTCCATTGTACTTTTCAGTGAAGATATCCAATGAGATCTTTGTCATTCAGTTAGAACTGTAAACGAACTGTGTATGTTCGGTTAGATATTGCGAAAATACATTCATTCCCTCATGTTCGTGTACCATTTACAAAAGAGAAAGAATATCGATCAGGGAAAAAATTACTTTATATCTCGAAATTTTATTCATCCTGGAAGATTCTAAGCCGCGTCAATAGATCAAATCTATCAGAAGATCATCCAAATGAGGATCTTCTACTCTGTTCTTGCATCCCGTACCGGATTCTATCGCTGCTCCTGCTTCGTTTCTCCAGTTTTCGTTACGGAAAACGTCATCTTTCGCAGATTCATCCTCCGAGTCTGATATCAGAATAACGTCGCCTTTCGCAGATTCATCCTCTGAGTCTGATATCAGAATAACGTCGTTATCTTCCGAGGTTTTCTCCCTCTGGCTTGGCGAGACACCGAGGTTACTGAAAACGTCTTCTGCGTCATCTGCGTCATTGTTGCTGAAACATTGGACCCAGAAATCTTGAATATCTTTTGCAAGAAAAGGACTTTGATCCGATTCTTGCTCTGGTTCGTCTAGAAAGGCTTCGATCTCTCTTAAAGCGTCGTTGCAAGAATCTTGTCGATCTTTCATCGCCTTCAATCTCAGATCCACATCGTTCTTCAGTTTCTGAATCTCATCAATCGCATCCTTCAGATCCTCCATGTTCTCCGACATGTCGAAGCCCTCTTCCTCCCACCAAAACCCTAGACCTCGACCTCCACTCCTCATCCCGCAACCGGAGAGTTCCGAGAGACAATCGTTCGAATCGGAGGGCCTACGGTTCTCGAGGAAAGCGTCGACAACGTCGGAGACGGAGGAATGGCCGAAGGAGTAGAAGGAGACGTTGGAATTGGAGGTGGGAGGAGTGGCTAAAATGGCGATGCGGGCATCGAAGAGGAGACAAAGCTCCGAAGCTTTGCGGTAAAGACCGTCGCGCCGTTTGGTGAAAGCCAACGATCTCTTCTCCTTCTTCTCTATTCTCTCCATCGAAATCTTTCTCCTTAGTCCTCCCATTGAAACAAACCAGTAGCTGCAAGAGTTTCAGGTGTTGTCTTGTCTTGTGCTTACTATATAAGTCGAACACTCTTCTGTTGTTGCCTTTTTTATATATATTTTTTGAAATTCAAATTTCGTTTCTTGATTTCTGACCGTTAGATTATATTTCAATCCACGGATGGAAGGGTTTGTGGTCTTGCATTTATTATATAATGTGAACACTGTTCTGTTGTTGCCTTTTTTCTTTTCTTGCAGGAAATGTCAATTTCTCCTTTTTTTCACTTCACTTTCGTTGGAAAAAAAATAGTTAGAATAAATTAAAAAAAAGAAGGCAGTAAATCGTAATCTTATCTAATGTAATTTTATTTTGGAATTTGATTTTCTAAAATATCTGCTTGAAATTTTATGTGTGGAAATCAACAACCGTAATCTAATGTAATTTTGTAATCGATAGAAATAATTAATTTCTTGTTCAAAAATCAATGAGATAATGCATTTTGTTTTATGACTTATGTATTTATTACCACTTTCTTTTAATATTTTCCTTTCTTTTTAACGAATCCACATATGTTATAGTAAAATTTTCCAGTGCTATTTACTGTCAAGAAGATCCACCACATTCAAGATCTCCCAATGTGTACATGTCAACGATGATGAACCGGAATCTCGATTTCGGTTTAAGAATTTGTATTCGGTTGAAATCGGTATGATTTCAATATCGGGCATTCGTACCGGTTTCAGAGTCGGTTCGACCCGTAAACATAAACCGGGTCGACCCGAAAGCCGAAAATGGCTCTGAAATCCCCACGGATTTGAGCTCGAACCAGTGACACCCATAATCTACGACATCGGCGATTTTCGTCGCCATCATCGTCGTTCTCTTGTTCCTCTCTATCGATCTCTGGAGAGATAGAAATCGCCTTTCTCGATTCGCTCTCCTGCATTCGCCGACGAGGTGATGCTCTCTTCACCAGTGATTTCTTTGTTTTTCCTCGATCTGGAAATTTTGGAGTTTCTCTTTGCGCGTTGTTAGATCTTTTGGCTGTAGTGGTTTATGTATTGTCTCCTGGGATTTCAAGAAACCCATGTCGTGGAATTATTGATTCTGTTCGCCCATTTTGTGTGATCTAGCAATCTTGCGTGGATAATCCGTTGAATGTGACCAGTGAGTGAAGGGTTTCTGTATGCATTTACAGTTTCTATTGGCCTTGGTGTTAGATCTTAGGGTTCTTAGTGGTGTATGTATTGTCTCCTGGAATTTGTCAAATCCCGTTTCTTGGAATCACTGGTTCTGTTTGCGTATTTTGTCCGGTGTAGAAATTTCGCTTGAATAACCCGTTGAATGCTGTTATCGTTGTTGTCTAGATTTGGCTTTGAGGTTCCGGAGATTCGGATATTCAAATTCTTGGAATCTAAAACAGATCATTAAATATTAACAAATCTGAGTTTTGCAGAGAGAAGAGAGCTCAAAATCCATCACTTTTCCTCGGATTCACCACACTCCAAGTATTATGGCTCTCAATCTTCGCGTTAAACAAACCGGTAACTCTCTCTCTCCCTCCCTCTCTAGATGAGCTGTTGGTCTCAGCTTCTTTGATGGATCCTTTCTTCATTCAAGAATCCGGAACATGAATCTGTTTTATGTGAATTGTCTGTTCAAAACCCTTCCCATTCCCCTTATTTCCATGGCACCACACATTTTTCTTGATCTAATAAAATTCTTGTCAGAGTAGGAAAATAATGGTGGGTAGAAATATAGGAATGTGAAAAGAAGAGAAATCTGGGTTCTTGTACGCATTTTGTGTCTGTTTTTATGGATGTTTATATTGGCTCTATGATTTCCTGATGGCAGAATGCATAACCCGGATGCTAAACCTGAACCAACCTTTAAATCCTGGTGGCACTGCAAATGAGGAAGTTTACAAGATCTTGATCTACGACAGGTTCTGTCAGAACATTCTCTCGCCCTTGATCCATGTCAAGGATCTCCGTAAACACGGAGTTACACTTTACTTTCTGATTGACAAGGACCGAAAGCCCGTTCTCGATGTTCCTGCTGTGTACTTTGTCCAGCCTAATCAATCCAACATCCAGAGGATCATAGCTGACGCTTCTAGATCTCTCTACGACAGCTTTCACCTGAATTTCTCATCTTCTGTCCCCCGCCCACTTCTCGAAGATCTCGCTTCAGGAACATTGAACTCGGGTTCCATTGATAAGATAGCCAAGGTCCATGACCAGTATTTGGAGTTTGTAACCTTGGAAGATAACTTGTTCTCTCTGGCACAGCAGTCTACTTATGTACAGTTGAACGATCCATCAGCCGGCGATAGAGAAATCGAGGAGATAATCGAGAGGGTTGCCAGTGGGTTGTTCTGTGTCTTGGCGACGCTCGGTGTGGTGCCGGTTATCAGATGTCCTCGCGGAGGACCGGCAGAGATGGTGGCATCTGCTTTGGATCAGAAACTGAGGGATCATCTTCTGTCCAAGAACAATCTGTTTACGGAAGGTGGAGGATTCATGAGTTCGTTTCAGCGGCCGCTTTTGTGTATCTTTGACAGAAACTTCGAACTCTCGGTTGGGATCCAGCACGATTTCAGATACCGGCCTCTTGTACACGATGTTCTTGGCCTAAAGCTAAACCGGTTGAACGTGCAGAGCGAAAAAGGAGGGATGAAATCGTACGAGTTGGACAGTTCGGATCCATTCTGGTCTGCAAACGGGTCTCTGGAGTTTCCTGAAGTCGCTGTGGAGATAGAAACGCAGTTGAATAAGTACAAGAAAGATGTCGAGGACGTTAACAAGAGGACTGGAGGTGGAACTGGTGCTGAGTTCGACGGAACTGACCTGATTGGTAACACCAAGCATCTGATGAATGCCGTGAACTCGCTTCCCGAGCTCACGGAGAGAAAACAGGTGATTGACAAGCACACAAATATCGCAACTGCGTTACTTGGACAGATCAAGGAGCGAGCTCTGGACTCTTATGCCAAGAAAGAGAATGACATGATGATGAGAGGCGGGATCGACAGAAGCGAAATTCTCGCTGTCCTGAAGGGCAAAGGTTCGAAAATGGACAAGGTCCGATTCGCCATCATGTACTTGATTTCATCCGAAACTATCAACCCGGCTGAAGTGGAAGCCATTGAAGCAGCTCTACGTGAAGCCGAGGCAGACACAAACGCGTTTCACTATGTGAAGAAGATTAAATCGCTGAATGTTTCTCTAGCTGCTTCAGCGAACTCGGCCAGCAGAAGCAACATAGTCGACTGGGCCGAGAAGCTTTACGGGCAGTCGATAAGCGCGGTCACGGCCGGGATGAAGAACCTTTTATCGGGCGATCAGCAACTTGCGGTGACACGGACCCTTGAAGCTTTAATCGAAGGAAAGCCGAACCCGGATATCGATTCTTACCTCATGCTGGACCCGAGGGCTCCAAAGTCGTCGGGCTCAGGAAACAGCCACGTGAAGGGACCTTTCCGAGAAGCCATTGTCTTCATGGTCGGAGGCGGTAACTACGTCGAGTACGGCAGTTTGCAGGAGCTCGTGCAGCGACAGCAGACAGTTAAGAACGTTATATATGGATCGACGGAGATTCTGACAGGAAGTGAATTAGTCGAGCAGCTCGGTCTGTTGGGACAGAAGATGGGACTCGGAGGTCCGGCGGCTTCGTCGTCGTCGTCCACGTCAGGACACTGAGTGAAGGGGAAAAATGTTTTTTTTTTTTATTGGTTACAAAGTTTTCATTTCTACTCTTCTTGGAGCTTTTAGCCTTTTTATTGGACAAACGATGTTTCCAAGTATACAAAATTGAGCAGTTTAATCTTTTTTTTTTTCCTTTTTGTTACTGATTAGTCATATTTCATTTTGTTTTATAAAATGCATCTATTCGATCATTTTAAACTTGAGAAATCGTGTTTGTTGTTTTTAATATTAAATATCTCAAAATCCTAATGCCAGTTCTAATTCGATTTTCATAAGACGAATTTGGATTTGACGACGACAAAAATTCGGAAAATCAGTTTCCGTTGCAAAAGTCAACATAAATTTCGGACCACTTTTAGTTTTGACTTGGTCAACTTCTGCTCCGTATTTACGGGAAGTCCCTTTGGTGAAATAAAATCAGTTTTTTCAACAAACATAAATGATTTATTTTCTTCTCTGTTTTTTCATAAAACCTGAGAGCACACTTTAATTTTCCTAAGTTTGGTATCGGAGCCTGGTTCTGTCACATGTCGAAGTTCATGTCACGTTCGGATTCATCTCAGAGTTCCGTTCGCAGCGGAAACGAGACGAGAATATCATTGAAAGAAGGAACTATGTCGCTGCAGCTGCAGTATCCGCTGCTGACGAGAACAAATTACGCGGCCTGGTCGATTAGGATGAGAGTATATATGAAGGCTCAGGGCGTGTGGGGCGCGGTGGAATCCGATGAACCACTTGATCCTCGGAGTGACGAGATGGCTCTTGCCGCCATTTTCCAAGGGATAAGCGAAGATACCATCCTGCAGCTCGGTGCGAAAAAGACTGCGAAGGAAGCTTGGAACGCTCTGAGGACGATGCATCGCGGGAGGGCGCGATCCCTCCGACGGGAATTGGAGAGTCTGAAGATGGAGGACGACGACTCGGTCGACGATTTCACTGGAAAGGTTACGGCATTGGTCAATCAATTGCGGTGTCTCGGAGAACACGTGGATGAATCGTATGCGGTGAAAAAGATACTGCGGGCCGCATCTCCGAGATTCATCCAAATAGTCGCCGTCATTGAACAGTTTGGCGACCTCTCCAAAATGACGATCGAGGAGGTGACGGGGTCTCTAAAAGCACATGAAGAACGGCTAAGAGAGTGGAAAGCTCGGAGGGAGTCCCCGAAGTGTGACGAGAAACGATCGCAAAACCACTGGGATCGTGGACGTGGACGCGGTAGAGGCCGTGGCCATTCGGGGGATGGAAGAGGGCCGACCGACGACGGAAACCACTACCGGAACTTCGGACATCCACCAACACAGAGACAGATCTGAAGAACTCAGGTTACTCGTTGGAATTTGGAAGTTCAAAAAGGAGAATGAACAAGATTGTGGATAATCATAATCTTGTAATTAGTTTTTCAATTTGAATAATTCAACATGGGATCTGATTTGGTTAATAAAATAGACTCTTGAATAAATTGATGATGGGTCTTTTCTTCTTTCTTTTTTGTTTTATTTATTTATATTTCGGGGATATCTGGATATTTAATTTATTCTGTAATTTTTTTGAAATTGAATATCTAAATGATTTGAAAAAAAGAAGTTCTCGAACTCAAAAATCCAAACGATTACAAATTCAGATTAAATATCCAAAAATCTCAAATACATATTAATGCCTATATCCAAGACTATTAAATATAGATTTTTAAAGTAATAATATATATATACACACACACGTTTCTAATATATTTATGTTCGAAAAATACGCGCGATATTTATAAAACACATTTCACTAAGAAAGATAATTTAATTTCAGATACCCATTGTTTGCTTGACAGTATTAGGGTGGGCAATTCGGTTCGGGAATTTAGTCCCGAACTATACCGAACCGATTAATTCGGGAACGATTCGGTTCGGTATTATATAAAAATACCAAACGGTATAAGATTTAAGATACCGAACGGTTCGGGAACGGTTCGGTTCGGTTCGGGAAATACCGAACGGTATTTCGGTATTTTTATTTTTTAATTAAAAAATATTTAATATTAATAATTAATTATGATAATTACTAAATATTAATAAATTGTTTACGTGTATTTAGATTTATGTTTATTTTGTTTAGCATTATCAAAGTTCAATAAATTATTTATTTTTATTAATTTTGATTATATTTAATAGTAAGTTGTTTATATTTTACTTCATAAATATTTTATTTTTATCTCTTTTTATTTATTTTTTTATATTATAGATACTTTATTTTATTGATAAAAAAGATTGATTTCTATATATATATATATATATAATATGATTTTTAAAACGTAATTTAAAGTTTTGATCATATTTATAGAAAATTTCAAAATTATTATGTTAAATTTCTTTACGGTTACATCAAATTCAAAACTTTTATTTTGTTGTCTAAATTATTATGTTGGATTTTTTTTTTTATACTATATGAATTATATGAACCGTCCCGAACCGTTCCGAACTGTCTTTATTTCGGTTCTTATTTGGTACTTATTTATTAGTACCGTTCCGTCCCGAACCGTCATAATATCGAACCGAACCGAATAATATACGGTACTAATTTGGTACAAATTTTATAATACTGAATAAACTGTTCCCGAATCGAATCGTTAAAATTCCGAACCGAATCCCGAAACGCCAACCCCTAGACAGTATATTTTAGTTATGGCGGTGGTTCCAAGCCCTAATTAAAATTCATAAACTAAAAATACCTTGGATTTTCAATTTTAAAGAAAAAAATAAAGATCCAAAATAAAGGGAGAGAAAAGAAAGGGAAAATTTTGAAAAACATATTATTATTTTTTCCCCTCTCATTCATCTCAGGGAAACAGTAAGCACGGACATTGATTGACCCTGAGCACGAACTCCTCCCCAAAACCCTAGCTTCTCCTTCCCAAATCCTCTCTCTCTCTCTCTCTCTATCATTTCACTTCGATTTTCATCTTCAGTCTGATCCATCCATGCCGCCCCCCCGGCCGCCGGAACGGCCCCTCCGTCGCCGGCGCAGCCCTCCTCTGCCGCCGCCGGCGGGGGCAGCGGAAGCAACGCGGCGCCTCTAGGATCCTCTGTGATTCCGATAGTGAACAAGCTGCAGGACATATTTGCGCAGTTGGGAAGCCATTCGACGATCGAGCTTCCTCAGGTCGCCGTTGTTGGAAGCCAGAGTAGTGGCAAGTCCAGCGTCCTCGAAGCCCTTGTTGGCCGCGATTTTCTCCCGCGTGGGAACGATATCTGCACTCGCCGTCCCCTCGTTCTCCAGCTCCTTCAGACGAAGGGACACGCCGATGGTGGATCCGAGGAGGAATGGGGAGAGTTCCTTCACTTGCCCGGCAAACGTTTCTTTGATTTCTACGAGATTCGCCGGGAGATTCAGGTTTTACTGTTGTTTCATTCCGAAATTGGGTTATGTTTTGTAATGCATTCATACCCTTTCGGCCATATTAGCAGTTCAATTATGATGCTATGATGTTTAAATGTGTATTGTTTGCAGGCCGAGACAAATAGGTTAGCAGGAGAGAACAAAGGTGTATCAGACAAACAGATCCGTTTGAAGATATTTTCCCCAAATGTATTGGATATCACTCTTGTGGATCTGCCTGGTATTACCAAGGTTCCTGTCGGTGACCAGCCAACCGACATTGAAGCGCGTATACGAACCATGATCATGTCTTACATCAAGCAACCTAGCTGTCTGATACTTGCCCTTACACCAGCCAATTCGGATTTAGCAAACTCAGATGCCTTGCAAATTGCAGGAATGGCAGACCCTGATGGTGAGTTCTGCTTACAGTTAAATTGAGGAAAAAAAAATCTTTGTTTTTGTGGATCACCTCTAATGTTCATGTGTATTTCCTGCCTTCAGGTCATAGAACAATTGGTATAATCACAAAGGTGCACTTTCTTTTCAGATAATTGTGTTGAAAATTATCTTAGTTTGTTGGCAGAAGCAACTTTTCCTCTTTCTCATGGGTTGCAGCATATTTTCTCTATGACTTCAGTTGGATATTATGGACAGAGGTACTGATGCTCGGAACCTCCTGCTTGGAAAAGTTATCCCTCTTCGACTTGGATACATTGGAGTCGTAAATCGTAGTCAGGAGGTAAACCTATCAATTTTCCTATAATTGTTTTTAATTAGTTATTTTGCTTGTAGTAGCTTGTGTGGTGTGGTGAGATGGGCTAAACATGCTTCTGGCTTTGTATCTGTGACTTAGTCGCTTCCCCCCGATAGAAACTATACATGCAGCCTCTAGTCTTGTATTTTTAGTTTTTTCAGGTTGTTTTTTGACTGACCAATGCAAGAATTTACTTGGTTCTTTTATTCTTTTAAACAGGATATTTTACTAAACCGCAGCATCAAGGATGCACTCATTGCAGAGGAAAAATTCTTCCGGAGTCGTCCAGTAACACCGCATCATACACTCTTCTTGGTGGTGATACTTCTCTTGTTCTGCTAATATCTGTCATTTTTTTGTAATAGGTGTACAATGGTCTAGCTGATCGTCTGGGTATTCCTCAGTTGGCAAAAAAGTTAAACCAGGTATTGTTTGCAGCCTTGACACTATTCATATTCTCAGTTACGATTAACATATTGTTCAGAAATCTATTAACATGCAACACAGGAATAGTTTTATAGATGTTGAAATTATGTGTTAGAGTTCTGTGTATTATTGATTTTTCTGAATGGTGCTTGAGTCTTCTTTCATCCATTTTACTCTAGCTGGATATTCTTTTCCCCCCTCACATCCACATCTCCCTGACATCATCCATGTTTGTTTGTCTTGGGAGTTGGGATCTTATTCCGTTGTTGATTGACTAGTAGCAATTTTCTGTAGTAAATGGCAGATGTCATAGCCTTGATTCTTGCTTTAATAGTTCTTATGTGAAAAACAGTCTTATTGAACCTTTTTTGCGCTATCTAGATCCTAGTCCAACACATCAAGGCCTTACTTCCTGATTTAAAGTCTCGTATAAGCAATGCGTTGGTTGCCACAGCAAAGGAGCATCAAAGCTATGGGGAAATAACAGAATCAAAGGTATGTTTTTAATTGGGAGATTTATCCGAACCTATCCTCAATAATGATGCTATTATTTGCTTTCCTAGCTTACTTGAAACTTCTTGTTCCTGCCAGTTTATGATTTATTGTGTTGCTCAGCTCCTTGTGTGAATATCATTTTGCTACTGCAGATTCTTTGCTCAGTTATGTGCTCTTGGCACATCTTGGAAACTTCTTGTATATTTTGGCTAAATCAAACAAATCCAAAATTTAAAGAATTAGCATTTGGAAGTGCCAATTTGTTAGGAAAAGTTTAGCTGATAATGGCCAGTCAATTTGTTCTAATTATTTATATTTAGAATTACATTTAGTTAGTGTTTAGCGCCTTTACCATTTCCCAAGATGTTAACTTGCTCTTTCTTGAACATGACATGATTTTATTTGCCATCATAAGCCTGGTTTTAAAAGCACACCTGAGGTACGTCTGAGGCGCCGAGGTGGGATGAAGAACGCCTCCGTATTGGGAGGCGAGGCGATATCCCAGAGGTGGCCCTAGGCACGCCTTGCCCGTGCCCCACCCGAGGCATGAGGCGACCGCCTCTGCGAGTCGAGGCAGTTCCATGCTTATCTGTTCATTTTCTTCTTACGTTGCTAGTCTGACATTAGTTCGTTTTTCACTGAACTTGAATTATTGAATTGTAAATTGTCACTGTTTAGAGTTACTCCACTCTGTTGCCTTGTTATATATCTTTGATCTTTATACTGTGCGCATCTTTACTCTTTAAACCCATAGGCTGGTCAGGGAGCTCTGCTTCTCAACATTCTTTCAAAATATTGTGAAGGTAACTCCGGAGATGATTCTCTGTACTTGAATAGTATGGAACATTTGTATTATGTTTCCTTCTACTAGCGATGTATCTTATGATCTACCTGTTTGAAACAGCATTTTGCTCTATGCTGGAAGGGAAAAGTGAAGAAATGTCAACGACTGAGCTTTCTGGGGGAGCAAGAATTCACTACATCTTCCAGTCAATATTTGTTAAGAGTTTGGAGGTCTGTTCTGACATTTTTCTTTTATGGTTTTGTTTCAGATTGATGTTGTGCAATTATAATTTTTTTATTCTTCATTTGTTTCCTGGGCATCAATTCAGTTACTTCTTAAATAGCTGATTCATATTTGATGCCTCTGGTGCTTTGCAATTTTTAGGGTTCATTTTATTGATTTAGAGAATTTTATATGGGCATGCTGCATGCATTACATTGTACCTAAGCTTTTGTTTACTTGGTTAGTTGTTAATTCTGAGCGAATGTCACACTTTTTTAATTGTGGTAGGCATGAGATTTTTTTAATAAGTGCTCTCTATGGTAGACTTGTATGTTAAATATTAAAAAGCTTGCGTGTATTTTTGTTGATAAGGTCATGGCATGTTTGTTCAGTTCCTGGTATTTTACAAGCATCTGAACTGTAACCGCAATGCATTCTTTGTGATGCTTTCCTCGCTTTTGAAAGGAATCCATCAGCAAAGCGCAATAAATCAGCAACTTATTTGCTTGGCAGTGTCCTTCTGGCCTTCTTCTGCTGTTGATGTTGTCAGAGCTGCTTTAGGTGGATTTCTATATTAGTTAACTAATTGACTTCTCTCAATTTCGCAGGAGGTTGATCCATGTGAAGACTTGACAGATGATGATATTCGGACAGCGATCCAGAACGCAACTGGCCCTAGATCCGCGTTGTTTATTCCAGATGTAAGTTTTGTAACATCTTTCTTGCACATGGGAACTTGATCCCATTTATCTGGACCTTATAGTATATGCAATCTGCTTTATTATTTATTTTCCAGCAATTTTCTGATTAATGTTTGTCAATCATATTACCATCCACATAGGTACCATTTGAAGTTCTTATCCGGAGGCAAATATCTCGTTTGTTAGATCCCAGCCTTCAGTGCGCCAGGTTTATTTTTGATGAGCTAGTAAAGGTATGGAAGTTCTTTTTATGTTCTAGAATATATATGATTGCTGTAGCCTCGTTTTTGTACATGAATTTTAAATTTGAATCTCTCTCAGATTAGCCATCGGTGTATGATGAATGAGCTACAACGCTTTCCTGTTATGAGAAAGCGCATGGATGAAGTTATCGGGAACTTTCTGCGGGAAGGGCTTGAGCCATCAGAAACAATGATTGGTCATATTATTGAAATGGAGGTACGTGTAAAGATCTATATAACCATGGATGTCGATTTTGCTGGCGGTAATACACCAAGAATGTTTGAATTTTTATGATTCTATATTGCATATATGCTGTTCACCATCCTCTCATTTTGAGCAAAGCTTGTTCAAGTTACAAATAACTACATAAGGACATTGATTTTTCTTGTGTTGGTTGGTTGCTGTACCTTTAATATTTGAAGTAATTCGTGAATAATGCTGCTCATGGATGCTTGAAATGTGGTCTTAATTTCTTTTGAGTTACTTCACAAAAGTTAAGCAAGGGAACATATGCAGATGGATTACATAAATACTTCACACCCGAATTTTATTGGGGGAACAAAGGCTGTGGAGGCTGCAATGCAACAGGTGAAGTCTTCTAGGATTCCGCATCCCGTGGCACGGACAAAAGTATGAAAATCTATCAGTGAAGCATTAGTATTGTGTTTCTTTATCTGCTTCATGTAGCATCAGTTGTCTGATATAATGCTTTTGGTTTTGCAGGATGCTGTGGAGCCTGATAAAATAGGTTCTTCTGCGAGTCAGATGAAATCTCGATCTTTTCTCGGTCGGCAACCTAATGGAATTATTCCTGATCAGGCATGTTATTGTTTATGTTCTGCAGCTGGCTTCTTTGTGGACGTTTGTTACATTTCCAGATTTGTCTCCTGTTTATGAAATGTTATATTTACATATTGGATCTTGAAAACCCAAGAAGCAAATTAGAAAATTTTGGATCGTTGTGTTTTGAACTTCTTATATAATATATATCTGACTCTTGGTTCTGTTACAAACGTTTCTCAGGGTGTTGTATCTGCAGCAGAGACTGAAAAAGTTGTGCCAGCTGGTAATAGTTTCATCAGTCATTTCAGTCTTCTAAGTCATGCGAGGATCATATCATTTTGAGACGACTTTGGATATTGAAAAACTCTCTGGGTTATCATATCTGAAACTAACATGCATGCGTGCATTCATACCTCTTCTCTTTGCGTTTAAAAACTTGAGAATTTATGTAGAGCCTTATTATAGTTTTGTGTTGGGCAATTGATTATTGGCCATGGTCAGCAAACACGAGCAGTTCGAGTTGGGGCATCTCGTCAATTTTCCGAGGTGGTGATGGCCGGGCAGTAGCTAAGGAGGACTTCTCAAGCAAACCATTCAGTGAAGCTGTTCAGGAAGTGGACCAGAACTTATCAATGATCTTTCTAAAGGAGGTATAGTCTTGTCCTTCTATGATCATTCGTATAACCAATACAATAACTTTACCCATTCATCTTATTGTGTTTTCTTTTTTGAAGCCCCCGACTGTCTTGAGGCCACCTGAAACCCATTCAGAACAGGAGGCAGTCGAAATTGCAATAACAAAGCTATTATTGAGATCATACTATGACATTGTAAGGAAGAATATTGAGGACTCCATACCGAAAGCAATCATGCATTTCCTGGTAAGTTATATGCCAACCCGCTCTTGTCCCAGGTTTCATGCACCTTTTGTGTTTCCTTTTGTTTTCCCTCTTGTAATTTTTGCTTCCTTGAAATATGTCATAGTACTTCAAGGTTTTAATGATAAAAAACCACATTTTGTGGTGCTTGATGGTACTGTTGTTGTCTATCTGATATTAACCAAATGTCTGATACACTGATACAACTTGTTCGTAATTGAATATACACAGGTTAATCATACAAAACGTGAGTTGCACAATGTATTCATCAAGAAGCTTTACAGGTGAGGGAAGAAAACTGTCGGCCTTTTTTCCCTTTGAAAAGCTATGTTTTGGTCTCGGGCCATATCTGCATCATCTCTTTACTGAATGTTTTGATCTGAAACAGGGAGAACTTGTTTGAAGAGATGTTGCAAGAGCCTGATGAGGTTGCAATGAAGAGGAAACGCACACGAGACACGCTCCGTGTTCTTCAGCAGGCTTACAGGGTAGGTGTCCATCTCATTGTCGCATCATTCTCTGCTTAGTATAATCTCATATCCCACCCATAAAAATCACCCTTTTAGAGACCATGCTTTAATAATTGGCAAATCCATCGTTTATGTGTGAGAGGGAAGATATCTCAAGTAATATGATGGTCGGCCATTGTTTTTCATGTTTTAAACAGACATTAGACGAGCTTCCTTTGGAAGCTGAATCAGTTGAGAGAGGATACAATCTCGGACCGGATGCAACAGGACTACCAAAAGTTCACGGCTTGCCTTCGTCCTCGATATATTCAACGAGCAGTGGTTCTCTCGATTCCTTCTCATCTCCCAAACCCACGAGATCCCGGAAATCAGGAGAGCAACACCAGAATCTGTTTGGAAACATGGATTCGAACGGGCATGGACGATCTCACGTGTCAAGTCTTTATCCTTCTCACGATCTGTAAGAGATCAATTTCTGTTTCCGCATTCCATTCATTTGATGGCTGTCTTCTAAATTTTCCATCGGGAAAAAGCCTTTTGATGTTGTGGGGGAGAAGTTCTCGTGACATGTCGGATTTGAGATATTCTCTAATAAACTGGTTAGAGGAAAAAGCCTTCTGATGTTTTGGTCTCTCCATTGATTTTGGTCCTTTCTTGCCAAGAATACTTACAAGGGTACAGGTTGATGGTTCGATTATATTTGTCTCAATTCATATATGTGTGTGTGTGTGTGTGTTGTGTTTGCAATTAAGTTTGAATTTCATGGCTGTTGAAAGGTTTGGTTGTCTTTTTGTGCAGATGTCTACAAATTTCCTCTGTAACTTATCTCCAATCTCAGTAAGAAATTAGGGTTTGGGAAACTTATTTGTTTTGGGGTCAGATTTCTAATTATTGTAATTGACGGGATTGAATTTGATAATAACTGGAGGAAAAAATAATTGTTTAGGAGCTTTTTTTTTTTTTTTTTTTTTTTAAAGGAACAGCTGTTTCGAGCTTGGTATATATTAATTAACTAATTAATATGATTTGGTTATATAATTTTATTCAAATAATCTAATATAAATGTTTGATAGATATAATTTTTAAAAGTTAATATATCCATCGAAATATCATTTTTGATAGATACCTTGGATTATTAATGATTTATTCAATCATCAAAATTTGGAATTTATGGTATATATACCTTATTCGAATTCAGAAAATATATCGGAACACAGGGAGGCCCACCAACCAGCCAATCAGTTCTGTCCTTTTTCATGTGCAAACAGATATTCGTGTTTGTAACAAACAACAGCCGAGAGAGAGAGAGAGAGAGAGAGAGAGAGAGAGAGAGAGAGAGGATCATCAACAGCGACAAAAATGAACGTTGAAGAGGAGATCCATAGGCTCGAGGAAGAAATCCAACGCCTGGGCTCTCTCCAACCCGATGGCTCTTACAAGGTCTCTCTCTCTCTCCCCCATCTCAAAATTATGAATCTGTTATCATGTTAATCCAAATCTAGGGATTATTCTGAGATCTTGATGAAGCTCTCTCGATCTGTTAGATGATCAAAGACGACGACCCTTTTCTGTGAATCCAAATCTCTCTCTCTCTCTCTCTCTCTCTCTCTCTCTCTGTGATGCTGAACTTTGCCCCTTTAATGGATCTTACGAATGCATCGTCATTGTTAGAACATCGTCTGTGATAGGTCAATGATTCGTAATGTTCAACCTTTCAATTGACTTTCGCTCACATTGGGGTTCTTGTCAAATGAGAAATTCCAAGAAACATCCGCTGATGGCATATGAATTAGGGTTCTACGATTATCAACATCTCTGATCAAGTTTTCGGTTTCTCCTAAACGACACAAAACCATGATGTTTCACCATGACATGTTCATGTTGTAGTCACTTTGCCAGCTTGTCGGTTCAAGATCTGTGGCTATCTCTTCAGATCTCGATCTCGATCTTGAATAAGGACTGAATCTAGATCTGCTACATGAGAAATATCACCGGAGCTTGTGCTAGACACAATATCCTTATCCTACGTTTCTATCCCGGCCATCAATGCTTCTCGACCCTCGGAACAGTTATCTTCCTCAATACACATTTCTCGCAACAGAAGAAGCGTTTTTTTGTTGCCTACCGAACATTTTGAGTGTCCACAAACTTGATTGGACTCGTCAAAGTTCGATTTTGGATGCGGATATCCAACAATATCGTTATAGAGATATGTTTTAACAATGGGTTGTGCTTCCATTTTCTTCCTTCTCCATGAAGGTCACTTTCGGAGTGCTGTTCAACGATGATCGGTGCGCAAATATATTCGAAGCCCTTGTCGGAACACTGAGAGCCGCAAAGAAACGCAAGATTGTAGCGTACGAAGGAGAGCTGTTGCTGCAAGGCGTCCACGACAAGGTCGAGATCATTATGAGGCCGCCGCCTCCTCCTCCTCAGCCACAGACAGCAGTTGCCGCAGCTTCCTAGGTTGCAGTAACTGAGTTCGAGTTCATGTAATAAACCGAAGAATGTCATAATCTCATCTTCTTGTTTATGTGTTTTATTATCCAACAAGGTTTGGTTGCCCTGTTCTATGAGATAAAACCAAGGTTTCACTTCAGCCCAACAACATGAAGTCTTGGCTATGAAACTCTATCTCCTTTACCCCCAAAAAAAAAAAAAAAAAACTCAACTAGAAAGATTGTCTCCGACACACCCAAGTGGGAACTAATAAGTAATAACTACATCACATGTATGATATACTTGGACTCAAACTAGTGCATCACTTTAAAATCAAAACTACATAAAATACCTTAATTTTTATAAATTTTCTAAATAAATTCAAAATTCGCTAACGACCTCAACTATTTTTATTTGAAAAATATCATAATTTTGAGTTCATTTGAGAAATTTTTAAAAATTTAGATATTTGTGTATGATTTTTGAAAAATTGAGGTATTTATGTAAAAGTTTTATAATATAGTTATTTATCCAGGATTTTCATAAAAAATTATATATATATATATATATGCAATTTTCCTAAAAAACAATTTATCTTATCCACCAGATCCTTCAAATATTTATATTCAACTCTTCATGTATCTTGTTCCGCTTCATTGACCTTACACCAAGTATTCGTTTCATATTAAATTCACTTTATATTTATTTCATATATACCTTTGTTTTTGTTACAAAAGAAAGGTTAAGTTATGAGAGGACAATATTTCATTTCGTAAATGTAGCAAATGTCCTTAGAAGACATCCACGGATGCTGGTTACAATGTCTGAATTACATAACGTCATCACAAGCACCATGACACCGCACAAATATTGTAGAGCACGTTTATAGTAATCGAAATATAGAGCTTGGGTTTCGACGAGGCCATCAGGCTTTAGAAGGCGTGGAGAAGAACGGTATGAAAGGAAAGCTCGGCCTCGGGAAACCGGGGAGTTGAGGCAAACCGGGCCTCATCGGGAGGTCAGAAAAACCCAGCCGCGGAATACCGGGAATCTTGGGCAAACCGGGCCGCTCCGGGAGGAAGCCCGGGACCTCTGGGAACGACGACTTAGGAATCTGTTGGGAAAGCTGCCTTGCCGCGAGAGTGGAACTGATCATAAACAAAAACGTGAGAGCCATCAAGGGGGAAGAGGATGAGAAGATCTTGCATGAAGCCATTATGCCTTTTTCTTTTCTTTTTTTTTTGGTGGATTTGGGTTGTGATTCACTCTTGCGTCGTTTCGTGGGTTTCATGTAACGAGGTTTATATAGGAGCACAACTTGAAGAGACAGCACCGAGTTTGTTGTTTGAAACTGAATCCTTGTACTAATTGCAAGAATAGTAAACTGTTTCTGTTCGTCGCTTATTTGTTTTGAATTTTGTAACCTTCATGTCCCTTGAATAAAACAAACCAAATCCTATATTTAGAGAGCGCCTATGCAAGATTCACAATTGGGAATCCACTCACAGAACAAGACTAGTAATTTGTAAAAAAATTTAAATGAAAAAAAAACATACGTAAAACATGTGCACATCCAGACTAATTCCCATTCGTCACTCGATATCAACGTATAAAATGGTAAAAGATAAATCTCAGAAATTGTTAGAAATCTGGGATATAAAATGAACAAGAAAAGTAAATCGGGAACCGGATAGCTCTTCAAGACATGATACACTTTCCTAAAAACGTTATCCTATACGAGCAAAGGATTTTTCGGAATACGTTTTTGAGATACAATGAAGAGAAGAGTGATCTTAGTTTGCTCTCCTACGATCACAAACACAAGAAACCGCAAGAAGAAGATGAACAAAAAGCTTTTGTGAGTGTTTCGCAAGAGCAATCACAAAAGTGCTCTCAAATCTCTCAAAAAATGATTTAGATCTGTTCTCTATAGTGTTAGGATGTTCAGGGGTGTTTATCAACACTCCAAATGTCGAAAGGTGTGAAGAAATCGGAAGTTTTTTCCGAACGGTCGCGATTTTTCGTTATTTCTGAACTGCTCAGAAAAAACGGGTTGCCCTCCCGTTTTTTCGAGCTACCGCCCATTTATTTCTGAGCTTTATTCCTCAGAAAAAACAGACTGCCCTCCCATGTTTTCGAGTTGGCCTCCCATTTTTTCTGAGATCATTCTTCACGTTCAAAACCGAACGTAAACTATTTCGACAAATCCTTAACACTTAACCAATACATAACACGTCTTTTACAAACATTTAACTCGACCATACTCGTAATATACGTGAAGTGTGAATCCTTTTGAGAGATTCTAAATTCACATTCATTTACTCTAAAAATCACAACAGAAATCGCTCCATTCCAGGGGAGGGTTCTAACCGCTAGTTAGGACGAACTTTGTTGTCGTTTTATTGTATAACATTCATGTTTAAGTCGATCAAAACCAACTTTGAAGATTTTTTAATTCAAAACAAAAAAAGAAAAAAGAGCTTAGAATATAAACAACAATTCAAAGATACTAACGATTTCCTATTCTTGTAATTTCTCAGTGCCAATTAACAAAACCCTAAAAAAGAAAATTCAACATGATAACCAACCACAAACTCTATATAAGCCCCATTCCAAAAAGAAACGAAAGCAACAAAAAGTACACGGGAGAACGCATAATGGCTTCATACAAAAATTTGTCCGTAACTTCTCTTTCGACGGTTCTTACATTCCTGTTCATGATCAATTCCACTCTTGCGGCCAGACAGCTTTTGCAGCAATTTGCAAACCCGACGTTCCTGAAACCGGATTTTCCCCAACCTGGTTTTCCGAGCATCCCTACTCCTCTTCCTGGTTTCCCGGGACAAGGGTTCCCTGGTTTTCCGAGCATCCCTACTCCTATTCCTGGTATTCCGGTCAAACCCAGCGTTCCCTTCCCTGGTTTCCCAAAACCCGGTTTTCCGTCTAACCCCTTCCTCTCTGCGCCTCCTCCGGCTACTAAGGCGTGAGCGATCTCGGCGAAAACAAAAGTCCATATTTCGACTACTGTTTTCATATTTGGCAGTATTGGGTGATGGACTTTCTAATTCATATGTATAATGTAACCATTATTTCTGTGAGAATTGGTATATGTAAAAGTTATATAAATGCATACGATTTTTTTTTTTTGCGGTGAACGGTGAATCAAATATACAAAAAAAATATGAATACAGTATCTTAAGGTTTCAAGAACCAAAACGGCCATAGGATCTCTGGATACAAAAGACGAATACCACCTTCTTGGATAAGTTAGCCACCAAAAACGGGGGCTAATAAGACTTAATATAAGATCACCTACGATGTTGAGGATACAAGGATTAAGAACCAGTCCCCCAAGGGCGGATTGTTCTATTGAGGGCTCTGATTCTGCATAGATAGTACGGACAATGTCTCGCCATGTGACCAGTTCTTGCTCCAAGGGCTTGTGCCGTCGAGACTTTTTTGGGCTTGTGACCAGTTCTTTGGAGACAACCAAACTAATGTATTCATTCATTCTTTGCTTTGGGTTTGAAAGGGTCACAAAGCAATGAAACAGCAAAACCTGTGACAGGATTATACTAAGATTTACCTGAACAAACATAGCGGAAAAGAAAAAATACAAACGAACAAAATGCGAATTTGGCTATAGGAAGAATGTGATGTGCTGATGTACAAATACAAGATACAAAGAGAATTTCATCAATCAGGATAGCAACGAACGGAATTTATATGCAAGGCAAATTGATACGGTAAAAATCCTTTTCACACAAAAATGTCATATGGCACCACCTTCATCGCGGATTTTACTCTGTTACGATTAGATGAACGTAGCATCCATTTTCCGATCTAATTTTGCCATTTTAACAGCATAATATCCTTTTACAAGTCAGACATCTGAAAGATTGAAGGGAAAAGCTAGCTAGTACTGTAAAAATACACCCTTGTGATTTCAAACGTTGATCCAGCCAAAAAGTAACAACCGCACCTGTTGCTCAAAGACCATTGCAAGAGCTAATAAATGTTGTCTGATCTGAGCTTTTCGAGTATCACTTTCTCTTGCTTGCCATCTGTTGGAGCTATAAGTCAGGAATTAACAAACTGTACACTGCAGAAACGTTTTAACAGTGCAGGTGTCGTGCTCAATACGAGGATGCAAATGATAATAAATTAACTTTCTCCAAAGATTTGCAAATCCATGTGCATACATGATTGATTTCTAGAGAAGTTATGCGACATGATTGTGTAACATTTAAATATATTCTCCACAAGGATACTTACGAGAGTTACTGGGGCAAGTGATAAGAATGCGGAAAAGGATACATTCCTCGTCAGGGTCTTCAGTAAAATTGGAATGCAGAGCATTTCCCATATTATCTACGATGGCAGAAGTGGTCATCGATGATTCAATGCACAAAATTGCTGTTATGGCATCCAATCGGGTGACCTCGTTTCTGAACATAAGCCTTGCATGCGCTATGACACAAGCCAGTTAATCTTTTTTTTTTTCTTTTCCTTATTATGGTTATGCGGTTAATGGTAGGGCGATGGATCATGAATGACATAAACAGAGCGACATACCTTGAGCCAGACGAATTAAACTTTCAAGCATTCGCACAGTTGTTCTTGCTGCAGTTAAAAGTAAAAACAATTAGGAAAGGAGAATCCAAGAGCAAGTCATGGGAAGCAAATGTTATTCTTCAGAAGGAATTGTTACAAAGTAGCTCCCCAAAGTACCAACACCGAGATCTATCTACAAACTCACCATGTGGTATATACCTGTTCATTCATTTCAACACTCGCCTGCTTCAATGATCTCAAGGAAATTGAAAAGTGAACAGGGGAAAATTTTCAGATTTGAAATGCAATGATGATTAATACCTTGTCAAAAAAGGTTGCTTTAAAATGCAACTTGCAGAACAGAATGTAAGCAGCATTAACTATCCATTGCACTCATATAAAGCTCTATTAAACTTCTGGATCAGAACTACCAGTTATTATTATGTGAAACCTTACTGTTTAGTATCGACAAATAAGGATGCTGTTGAAAACAAAGGTGGTTGATATGGTCCTCAAGTGCCTATCAAGTGGTGGATTGGTATCTAGTGTGGCAAGCAACTAACGGCTTGTGAAGTACTAATGGTATTGTTGATTTCAGTATCTTTATTTCTTGTTCCGCCGGCTATTTTTTTTCTCAATTGCATAGATGCAGTTTCACCGTCGCATGGTTATAGCTCCCTCTTGGTAAAAAAATTCAAATTTAAGAAATAGAAGATTGTTTTCAAGGGAGTTACCTGCATTATGGGTCGCTGATCTTCTTTGAAGTCGATAATAACTTGAAATAATATCTTCAGCCTCCTTTGTTAGGACAGGTCTGAAGTGTCCTTTTACAAACTGAATATATCTGCATGAGTTAAGATGCAAGAACTTAGGCCTTTAGATTGAATGGACTGGGACATTTTACAGTGAACAAGAACAGATAAATGCCTTGAATCAAACATTCCAGTCATATCCCATATTTAAGTAACCTAATGCAACTGCAGTTTCGGCTGGCTTCTATGAAAAGTACATTCTCCTAGTAACTGTTTCAAATTGTGTTCCTCAAGATCCACTAACACAATCTATACCTTCTAAGCATCAGTAGAGGCCAAACAGCTGTGAGATCATCGACACATCCTTCCTGCTCTAACTCCCCCTTGGAGGATGTAAATCAGAAAAGGCGTGAAGTTCAAATTTAACACAAAAGCACAAAAATCTGTGCTAAATAACGGCCAATATCGAAAAAAATGTATTTTTCTGAAAGGAAAGTACCTCAGAAAGGATGTGAGAGGATACAACTACATCCCATTCAGGATTTTTTGTATCTAAAAGTACAAGTACTATGTCAAATCTGCTCAACAAGGGGCCAGAAAGTGCGGTATTGACAGAAAGAGCTGAAATCAGTTAAGAAGTTGCAGAAGAAAAAATAACGAAATAAGAATATGACGAAACTAAAACCTTTTAGTGGAAGCGGAAAACATCTGTTATGAGTGAACCGGAAAAGGGAGTTTATGCCTTGTCTTACTAGTTATATCATGAAATTGTTAAATTTAGAAGCATGTCAGCTTAGATACAAAGGAAAAGGATACATTGATCGGGGTCATATTGCCCTTTGGGATTTGTAGCACCAAAAACGATTGTCTTAGTGCTGAGGGTTGTCACGAGGCCAGCCTACAACATACCAAGCAGTAGAGAGAAGAAAACAGACACAAAAGTACTTTTAAGCCGACTCATCCAGAACGTAATTATGCCTGATACAGGCATGTTTGCACTTGGAAAACGACTTACCTTGGCCACACTTATACTCTGCTGCTCCATTGCCTCATGTATGGTTGCCCTGTCGTGCTCTCTCATGCTGCTCACAAAAAACTAAAGAGAATAAGCATAAAAAAATCAATAACAACAATGACAATGACAATAACAAACAATAATTTTCTGTTTGTGTGGTCTCACAAGCAAAAAAGCAGCAAAACTAAACTGACAGCAAAAGCAACGTAGTGTGAAATGAGAAGAAATTTTTTTAGAGTGTCTTAAATTATCGTTTAATCAATGGCTGCTTCAGGTGTGTAACTGTAACATCAGGCTAGACACTTGGTCGACCAGAAAGACATGTCAATTTAATTTTAGAAGGATTGTATAGAAAAGTGGAGGCTGGTAGGATGAAATAAGGAATCATGAAAAACAGAGTAGATATGTCTCATAATGGAATCTGCAGACCACCTATCAAACTCGTCGATGCAGCACAGTCCACCGTCTGCAAGAACAAGTGCACCAGCTTCCAGCATCCACTCCCCTGACAACAGAATCAAGAAGAATTTTAAGGGAAAAATTTACCTAGATTCCCATATGACAGCTACATGAAAAACGTAAGCGCTTACCTCCATCCTTGACAGCAGTTACAGTCAATCCAGCACTTGTGCTTCCTAGTCCCGTGGTGATGACAGCTCTGTTACTTAATTTGGCAGCAAACTTCAAGAATTGAGATTTTCCCGTGCCTGCCAGATATTGTTTCCTTGTCAGAAAGCAGGACAATATATTATTACCAAATCGAATGTAATTCAGGAACTATTCTACCATTCATATATAGTTAGTAATAAATCAAGCAGTTTGTATTCAGATTTATGTAATTTGGTAGTGCAGGTCAATCAGCTAGCAACAAAAATACAGAAGGCCACAACTTTTCTTACCTCCTAGTGATGTACTTGCATGTAGTTACAAGAGGATTTTTTGTTAAGAAGACAGCTTTAGAGTTAAACCAAAAATTTAAGCCAGGACATGCCTAAGTAGAAAGCAAAATACAAAATTTGAGACAGACATCTACCTGGATCACCAATAAGGAGCAAGTGAGACTCCCCCCGTACCTTTGTACCCGACGCATCAACATGCTGCACACCTCCGATGAGTGTTAAGGCAACTACATTATCAACACAAGCACATATATGAAAAATACAGTCACAAATATGAAATGCCTCAGTTACCATCCATCAACATTTTTTTACAGTCCAATCAGATAGACATAAACCAAATAAGTTTACATAGGGTTTACCTGCAAGCTTCACAGTGAAAAGTCCAAAAATTTGTGGGCAGATACCTCCTAGGATAGCATTTCTCCCTGGGTCAATTCAATACTAACGAAGTTACCAGAATATCCTATTAATTTACATATTGCATATATTACAAGGTAAAAGGGAAAAAGATGGAAGGTAGTTCTATAAGTGTTCAAAAGACAACCACAATCAGTTGGAATTTAGCAAATTTTAGGCAGTAGGTTATCTACTTACCTTTTAAAGGTGTGTCTCTGAAATCAGTCCAAAATTTCTTGAACTTCATGATGACACTATCAGGGATATCAATTTCTGATTTCAGTTCATTTGTTCTCCTAACGGTTTGCAGAATCACATGAAAAGAAAAGTAAAAGAGAGATAAATAACTGGAATGTTTATAGCTATTGTGTTGAAAAGATATCTGGAAACTGCCTTTGGAAGAGCCAAAAGTTATCTTCTGAGGAGAACTACTTGAGTTAGCTTGGTGGCAATACTTGCTTCAGGGAAACAAAAGTACCATTTCATTGATCAAAGCGTTTGGCAAGATTGTGATGACTTCATGGAGATAAATGACAACTTGGCTCAGCCATTTACCTGACATGATTAGCCATTAACATTGGTTCAAGGTCGCAACGAACATCTTTTAATTCATGAGACCATTTTGCAGTCAAGATCCCAGAAACAACAGCATCATCTGAAGAAAGGAACATAAGACAGATGTCACTACTTAAGGAATATAATTATGCGGGTATTGTAAGTTGTAACAATGGTTAGTTGTGTTTTCCCCTATCAAATACGAGCATTGGTATGTGGTAAGAGACTAGAAAAAATAAAGCAAACAAATAAATTCCAGGAACTGTACCTCCAGCTTTGACGGTGTCAACAAGGTCATCTATCAGGATGACTAGGATGGAACGAGGGATAACCCCGACACCCAAAACCTGAGTATTTTCTTGGATTTTGATCTCTTGATAATCATGGCGTATTACTGTATCGTCTATAGGATCAAAGTTTGTGCCTTCACAAGGTTTCAACCGCTGTAATCCAGAATTCCAGGTTATTTCCAAATACAAACCTGCCAGTACTGTTGCTTCAGACTGAACTAAAACAATAGTTGCAGAATATACTGAAAGAAGAAACAAAAAAAATCTCCTAATGATGAAAGAGCAAAAATATCACAATAAATGTCATGGACACAGTGTATTGAAGACGTCGAACACAACAGTTCTTTTTAACTAAACTTTACACGTCCGAGAGACTCATCCCAAGGTCCATGGGATGAGTCTAGCTTGTTGGGGAGGGTGGACTCAATTGTTCCCACATATAGTCGATAGAGTAACAGAGATTCCAAAGAATTAAAAGGTGCAACAGGGAAAGATATATTATGTATCCTGACAACTATGCTCCCTATTGTAAAAGTCTTGATAACGTAAAGCAAAGCACAGAGAAGAATTTTGCCCATGATATAGAAGACGACAAACCTGAGAAGGACAAATGGAAGGTTTCACAATAGAATTTCTTGCTTCCAACTCAGGGAAAAGAGGAAACCTACATGAGGGATCAATTCATAACCAGCTAGTCTCAGGTAACAAAGGTTGACACACCATAGAATGCATAAGCATTTCCCCATCGGCCATCAAGCAAACACATAGAGGAAACAATTTCAGACAAGAAAAGGAACAGACATACTCATGCTTGCATTTTCGGCATCTATACATCCTTTCTCCCTCGTACATTTTCACAGCCCCCGAGCGAATTACGGTCCCTTTCAAAGTCAGCAGAATCCCGCGGTGCTTCACTCTCACCCTCCCAATGCTAGGAAAAGTTTCTGAAGAAAATCCAAAACTTCATTCACGAAACCAAAATATATTCCAAGAAGATTTGGAGAAAAATAACATTTCATACCAGGGCTTAGTTCAAGAGGGGATCCACTTGTGTTTATGCGGACATGGATGAATCTCTTCTGGATCCCCATCTTGTTCTCAAATTTCCTCATATGCTCCAATGCAATTTTCTATGACCCAAGACAGAATACAGTTAAGTTTCATAAAAAAATGCCCAAATCGAAAATCTAAACTAAAATTTCCACGAAATTTCACAGGGCGGAACCATTATACATCAAAAAGTAGCGGTTACAGTTGGGAAAGTTCAACACATACGTGAGCGAGAATCGCGGAATCATCAAAGTAACGCAGATACTCGGTGGGATTGGAGAAAACGAGACGCGATAGATGTGGTTTCTCATCTATGAGCTCCGCAAATCTACAGATGGGGAACAGAGTAAGTACTCGATGAAGAGGGAGAGAGAGAGAGAGAGAGAGGGAGAGAGAGAGAGTACTCGATGAAGAGAGGGTAGTGAAGCTTGGGATCGGGAGAGAGACAAATGGAGCGGAGCTGGCCGGAGTAATGCTTCACCAGGAACTCCGCCAAGGCTTCAACATCCTCCGCCGCATCCGTCGGCGGCGCCGCCATCGGAGCTTCGGCGTATCGGGGTTTGGCGGGAAATGAAAACTCGGTCTGCCTGTCTGTATGTGGACGGAACCTTTGAGCTGCTTTTTCTTTTGTCGAATTATATATGAAGAATTTAATGTGGTTGGAATAAAATTATAAAAGCTTTTTAATGGGATTTAATTTTAATTCTTTTGCTTCCCCTCTTAATTTATATTTATGATATTTTTCGGAATTCATATATATAAATTCATATACACTTTGTTATGACCACAGTTACATAGTGAGAAAAGTATATGATGGGCGGAAAATATTCAAATATAATTTATGGAAATTTAAAACAATTCTATTTTAATCGGTCAGTTATTTAAAAAAAATGTTTTAAGTAGCAACATAAGCGACCCGAGCCGACCTAATACAACAAATTTTTTTGTTTACTTCATCTTTCTGTAAGGCGGCCTACTGATGTTTTTTCTTTTAATTTTAGGAAAACTCTGAAAAAAAAAATATTCATTTTTTCAATTTTGACAAAATTAAAGGTGAATTATTTTTTTTGGTTTTCTGAACTATTCGACGAGTATCACATTAAAACTTTAGTTTGTTACCGTTGGCGATTTGGACCCACCACTACTATTAAATCAGACATATTTAAATAGTAATAATAATACGTCGGAGAATATTAATAAATTGTTATTATCGTCCCTTCACTTTGTGTCTCTCTTTTCCTTCCTTGCTTCATCGTAAGCTCCTCCTCTCTTCCGTCGTCTTCCTCCCATCGGTCGCAGAAAACAAATGGGAGAGCTGAAGTTATTCGATTTCAATGGTGACGAAGCCGATCTCCGTTCAGACAGGACGACGCCGAAGCACATCGTCGTCACTTACAGGTTCCTCCTTTGTTTTGTTTTTAACACTGTCTGAAATTGCTATGCATTTGGTTTCGATTTGATATTGTGTCTGATCCGATTAATTTTCGGGTCGATTTCCTTTCGTTTCGGTTCGACTTTCGATTTTTTAGAAAACAAAATTTTCCAAAAATTAATCAAAATCTATTTAAACAAACCCAAATTCGAGATTTTATTGGTGGTCTGAGAATGAGAATGTTTGTTTTTGGGCTGGCATAGATTATTCGAACCGACACCATATATCTATATATATATATATGCATTGTATACCAATTTCACATATGGCGTCCATTAACAAATTAATTACAAATGCAAGAAGAGTTCTTAGATAATATATAAAATTATCTATTTTATGGCTCTTTTTATATTATGAATATCTTGCAAATTAGTTTTATCCATAGAAATCCAATATGCATCAATAGTTAAGAGAATTTAACTAACTCACATTTGTTTTTCAGGATGAAATCTAGTGGGAGTATTGGAAATTAAAATTAATATAATATTAATCCAAATTAAATTTGAACCCAAAAATTACAAATCACTTCGAACATCAAGAAAACATTCTTTTAGTTTCTTCATGAATATGATCTTCTTTTTACATATTCGTTGTATGTTTAGTTAATGAAAGTTCCAAAATTTGGGGAAGTAATAATGGATAATGCATTTGAATTCATTTATTATAAGTGTGTTTTGTTTTGTTTGTTCGTTTTCAATGCGATTGTTGCAGCTGCGGCTCCTGCGGATACCAACTGAACTTGAATTCCGACAACCGAAACACTACAATGATCGGTTCCAAGTACGGAAAATGGATGAAGAAAGGCATAATGTCGTTTTGGAGCATAGACGAGACGCGGTTCACTCGCGTCGAAGAGCGAAGATTCTTCAGGCGATACACAAAACTTCTCTGCGGAAAGTGTGAAAACCACATCGGTATTGCTCAAAAGACGACGAAAAATTCGAGGCGGATCCAACTGCGGAAATCTTATACATTCCCGGCGAATGGTATTTTGGAAGGCAATAAAGTTTACGAGATCAAGATTCGAGCTTTGCAGCCTTGTTCTTTCTCACCAGATGATTCCTTGATCTTTCCTTGAAAACTTCATCTTAGCGATGGTGAACATTTCGAATTTGGATTCAGTTATATTCAAACTGAATTATTTCAGTGTTAAAAAAAACTATAATCATTCAGTTTTTATAGTAAATCCAGTTCAATTCAGTTCGTATAGATAAAAAAATACTCAATTTTCAGATAAATTTTCGATTATCTTTGTTCATCTTGATTTGATTTTTTCAATTTTAGAGAATTTATAGCAATTTGGATTTTATATCGGATTTGGATTTGATTCGATCGACTATAGTTATGTGTTGATCAATTCACGCAAGTTTAGTTTTTAGGTTATTAACAAATTCGTCCACTAGTCTTTTGTCTCCGACATTGTTTGTGTTTTGTAGCATCTAAGTGGTTTCAGATTACTCTCCCCAAGTCCCTTTTTCATGTAATCTGCTATATCGAAATGACGAGGTACCGTAACCGATATATCAATCGTGACTCGGAGTAGAAGAAAAACCTCGGATTATCCATCATGCCGAAGCGTAAAAGCTCTCGGAGAAACGCTGCAAAAATGCTGGGCTCGTTTCGAAATTGTGCAAACCCCTTTTTCTCTACAGATACTTTCTTGCGAGTGCACGGACCTTTGTGTCGAAATGCGATGAGACGATACGGGAACCGGGCAAGTACAAAGGATTGAGAAGAATCTGCAATTACCATTCATGAGGGAACAAAAACGGTTATTAATAACCTATAACCACCAGCTGTTTCATGCGAAAATGAACGCGGAAAAAAACCCGGATACATGAACTTCTGTTTCTTCTATTCTACCAATATCGATCGGTTCACTGCAATTGTTACGTATCTATGAGAAAATCCCGACATTCACAACTTCTACGTTCGTGTAATCACGTGTCAAAAATATCAGAACCCATGACCTAAGATAAGAACTATAATAATGCAAAACAGTGTTATAGCAGTGAGATCAGATTGATTGGCGAAAAGTGTTGAACAGTAACAATCCAGACGATGTTCGAGTTAATTTCATATCCATCTACCTGGTTCGCATACGGGTGAAATATAGATACTTTTTTTTGTAACGAATACCGTGAATTTAACAAAGGCGAATCAACATTGGATAGAGTGGAGTATACATCACTCTAAACTAGAACATTGCTGGAAAAGCTATAAGAAAAAACTTCAGCATGACGAACCCGAAGCTTCCATATGATGCGGGCATCATTTGGAACATACCGAATGGACGAAACAGAGAGAGAAGGGAAGAAGAAAGTTACCTTTATATAAAGCTCATGCACCTCCTGGAAGAAACTCTTGATGCCGTCCTCGTTACGTGAATCGTGAAGGAGCATAAATCGTGTATGTGTCGATATGTCAAGGACGAAACACCGTTTAAACTGGAATATTCGATCCAGGCTATGTAAATAGAACCCAAATTAGTGTGGTAGTAAGCAATAGCAAAACAAAACTCAGCATGTATTCTGTTTGATTTATTAGGATAACTTTCAGAAATGCAGCCCATCGAAACAAAATGTTTTCATAATCGCATCAATGACATGCATAATGGCTTTACCGTTATTTCTTTTGTCTTCAGAATGCAACACGGCGATAGAAATATGCGGCAAAATAAATGAGAAGCGAAGAGCAAACATTACTATATCAATGAACCGAAACGAAAAATGTCATTGCTTAACATTGACACTTGAAATGAATCCGAAACATATAAATGCACATCACATGTGTGCCATTTCTATTTCAGTTTGAAAAAAGGATATGGCCAGCAGTAACATACACGGACACTACCAGATCATTAAACCTGTCGACTGACTTCAAGAACCTGAAAAATTAAATTCTTCCGATATATGAGAACGGTAGAAATCCTTGATGACTGGTAATGAGAATCAGATATATCTAAAGGGACTTTTACTGACATGGCACTTGTAGCCCATGCAAGGTCCTGTACGACGTCCAACGCTGCGTGTAATATAAATTGGTGCAACTGAGCAGCATCTTCTCTCTAACACATGGGTAATGGTGTGAGAAATTGATGTACAAATTATTTATCAAACTAAACCAGAGAAACGCAAGAAGACGGCAAACAAACATCATTCAACAATTCAGGCAAACTAAAAATGAATTTGGGCAAGAAAAATCATGGTACTCCTGTTCAAGAATCAAGTTAACCAAGCTAACTAAATTTTAGAGGACCTACATTGGAGTGCTCTGGAAGAACAATATATATACATTGGAAGCTAATGATCTTTGACCATTGCTACCAGTTTCAGCTACTTCAAATTGGAGATGCAAACCATTAACTATGACCAATAAAAAAGGGCAGAATGAAACAAACAGAGACACACTGTGGGGTACAAGAAATAGTACCATTTCCATTATATACAAATATAAGAATCCATAAACAAATAGTAAAAGTCAGGAAAAAAGCTTACTTTAGCAGCAGATCCAACTTCGGCTTCATAGATGGGAATGTCGTTCCTACTCACGATTATAAAGCAGGCAGTGCTCGCCATTTCCTTGCCTTGGAATAAAGTAGATTAGAACTTGTCCCACCAGACAGCACAAATTCAAGAAAGGCAACTGAAATTGAATGTTCTAAAGTCAGGATTTATTTAAAATTCTTTGGCATGGTATCACCCTTGCCCATAATAGAGAAGTTCATATATACAATACTAAGTACTCACATATAGTTTTCTCTCTCTCAGTGCCTCCGAGAGATCCAAATAGCTCTAGATTACTACCCGAACCTAAGACAAAAATGTATCCTATCAACAACCATTCAGAATACCAACAACACTCATAACTCACAGATCAATTCTAACCCAGACATTCTGGTTCCCAAAGTTTCAGCCCCACATTCCATTTAACATCATACAAGACATTCACTAACGTTATAAGGATTGAAGACAACCAGCAAAGTCACAGAATATATTTAGGCATGCTGCAACCAACCTATAACAACCTTAAACATCTACAGACAAGAGCAAAAGCAAGGAAAGAAAAGCAGCCAAAAGAGAAAACAATCACAATAGCAATATTTTTCTGCCGAGAGTGAACAACCAGCAAACAATAATAGCTTCAGCAAAAAGCACAATGTTTCATTGTCCGACCAGAAACAAATACAAATAGGCAATAACATAGTTGAACAAGAACTAGAATCATATCGGCCAATCATTAAAAGGGACTATATCTCGTACCACCGGGCACCACAAAATCAAGAAAGATTATTCCAAATCTGGTATGGTTATTAGGTCAAGACTCAAGATTTATCTAGACTCTATTAACCTGCAATCATTTTTCTTACAAACTAATCTTGGGAGAATGAGAGAAACGAAAGGTTCCAATGTGAAATGAGTAACCACTTTACACACATAAGTGAGTGACCATAAATAGTTTCAAATAAACAATAAGCTTCTTCAGCATATACATTGGTAAATTTCTCCTCCATAATACAAAAATTAACGTAACAAAGCACAGCAAGAGGATCAAGTTCCAGCCAAAAACTGATTTCAGTATCCTCTTCAGTTCCATAGGAAAAATCGTCATCAGGAATTCCAAGCTGAAGGCATTTGTGAGGTCCGTAAGCAAAGCTTGTTCTTGGATGAACAAACAGAGCAGGGCAAATTGAAAATGTCAATAAAATGGCCCTTAATTGCAGAGAGATATTCAACCACACCAGCTTCACAGAACAGAACAAAGGTTCACAGACCAACACAGTAGCAAAAGAAAAGGGTCCAATTCTTTTCACAAGAACATGAGCCAAATTTTAACATGGGAAACATCTTTTCTCACTTAACCAGCTTTAAAAGAGGAAAAAAAATTTCGATCTACAAGCCGAACTATAGATTCATAGCGGTAAATTCACAGCATTTCATCTTTCCTACATTTTTTTTGGGGGGTTATTTGCAGCAAAAAGCTGAAAAAGTAGCCAGCTCTCCTACAAAAGTAGAAAATATGCAAAATGTGTTCATGGGACAGAAATCAAAGCCCAGAAAAATGTGAAGACAAAATTTCAGGGATTACAGAAAAACTTGCAAATTGAGAGAAGAACAAGAGGAAACGGTTGAGAGGCCACCATATCCCGGCGAGGCAAGCGCCGCCGGATCCGGGATGCAACCAACCTATAACAACCTTAAACATCTACAGACAAGAGCAAAAGCAAGGAAAGAAAAGCAGCCAAAAGAGAAAACAATCACAATAGCAATATTTTTCTGCCGAGAGTGAACAACCAGCAAACAATAATAGCTTCAGCAAAAAGCACAATGTTTCATTGTCCGACCAGAAACAAATACAAATAGGCAATAACATAGTTGAACAAGAACTAGAATCATATCGGCCAATCATTAAAAGGGACTATATCTCGTACCACCGGGCACCACAAAATCAAGAAAGATTATTCCAAATCTGGTATGGTTATTAGGTCAAGACTCAAGATTTATCTAGACTCTATTAACCTGCAATCATTTTTCTTACAAACTAATCTTGGGAGAATGAGAGAAACGAAAGGTTCCAATGTGAAATGAGTAACCACTTTACACACATAAGTGAGTGACCATAAATAGTTTCAAATAAACAATAAGCTTCTTCAGCATATACATTGGTAAATTTCTCCTCCATAATACAAAAATTAACGTAACAAAGCACAGCAAGAGGATCAAGTTCCAGCCAAAAACTGATTTCAGTATCCTCTTCAGTTCCATAGGAAAAATCGTCATCAGGAATTCCAAGCTGAAGGCATTTGTGAGGTCCGTAAGCAAAGCTTGTTCTTGGATGAACAAACAGAGCAGGGCAAATTGAAAATGTCAATAAAATGGCCCTTAATTGCAGAGAGATATTCAACCACACCAGCTTCACAGAACAGAACAAAGGTTCACAGACCAACACAGTAGCAAAAGAAAAGGGTCCAATTCTTTTCACAAGAACATGAGCCAAATTTTAACATGGGAAACATCTTTTCTCACTTAACCAGCTTTAAAAGAGGAAAAAAAATTTCGATCTACAAGCCGAACTATAGATTCATAGCGGTAAATTCACAGCATTTCATCTTTCCTACATTTTTTTTGGGGGGTTATTTGCAGCAAAAAGCTGAAAAAGTAGCCAGCTCTCCTACAAAAGTAGAAAATATGCAAAATGTGTTCATGGGACAGAAATCAAAGCCCAGAAAAATGTGAAGACAAAATTTCAGGGATTACAGAAAAACTTGCAAATTGAGAGAAGAACAAGAGGAAACGGTTGAGAGGCCACCATATCCCGGCGAGGCAAGCGCCGCCGGATCCGGGATCCAACTTGGCCGATCAGGCCGCCGCTGAACTACCGCTTAAGAGAGAGAGAAAGAGATCGACTACCTGACGGCGATTTGGAGGCGGATACGGAAGAGACGGAGGCAAAGATGCTGAGAGATGGCGGCGGAGAAGCTGAGTGAGAATGCACTTGACGGTGGGTGGGTTGTTAGGACAAATCTCCGGCGATTCGGACGACGTGGGGATATATAATATATTGTTAGACTGGGAATTTATCCGCATTTGTTAATGGTTTGCTCCTAGGGCAAAGCAGTCAGGTTATCGAGGTTGAGGTACGGAAAAATTATGGTAAAAATTACCCATTTTTTAAAATCATTTATATTTGAATTCAAATCGAATAAATCAGAATTGGAACGAAAATACTAATATTTTTAGAAATTATAAAAATATCTCAATTTATTAAAATTCTAAAATTACCCCGCTGATTGGATTCCGACCTCTTCAAATGCGTAGGAAGGAATCTCGGCCTGGAGTCACTTGGAATCGGCCATTCCGTTCCGATTGTGAGGAATGATCATGGCTTTTCGAAGAAGTTCGTAGCCGGCTAAGTTCAAGGCTCCGAGAGGGGCAGTCCAAAAGAACCTGGGAACAGCTCCTTTGTAGAATGCGAGAGGACCCTCTTGCGTCACAATGGAATATGCAGCCGCCCACATCGATAGTTCTACGCCTTGTGGAGCAGTCATCATTCTCGTCTTGATCACGTCAAAAGGTGTCGTCAGGACGGCCGTGAACCCTCCCGACAAGGCTCCCACCGCTATCGTCTCCCACGGCCCCAGCTCTCTGCCCAGACGTCGCTCCACTACCTTCAACACAACAAACGGAGGCTTGATCGTTTTTGAATGTTTTTTTTTTATCGGTTTTCATTCGGGTCTCATGCAAAATGATTTGATATTACACCCCCGAGGTACAAACGGGGAGTGGAGAAATCGTAATTACCTTCTTTGTCTCGTTGAAAAGTCCCATTCCAGCGACGTAGAATGGGACCTCGCGTAGCAGGGTGACTCCGGTGCCACGGAAAAATCCTCTGAAGCCATCTTGATGCCATGTCACAGTGGCAGCTTCCACTGTATTGTCGAACAGGTTGGCTTGTAATCGTTGTTTCAGCACCTCGCAAGGAATCCGCATCACCGTGCCAAGAAATGTGCCCAAAAAAGACGCAATTGACTGAACCTAAAGAACAAGAATGATAGGATCCAGAGAAAGTATTTACAAAATGGATAATTTGTGAGGAATTGGAGAGCAAATGTAAAGGATAATAATTACTTGGACGTCTGGGAGAGTTGGAGCAATGTGTACTAAGCCTAGTTTACTTGCTTCATAAATACTAGTTCGTAATCCATGGCTGAAACGAAAGTTTCAAACGAGAGATCAGAACATGGTGCTTATAGAATCACCGAATGTGAGAGAGAGATAGCAAAAAAGGAGATGGACCTTGCAAATTGGCCGGCAACAGCGGGAATAGATCCCTTGTACAATCCCCGGGAACCTATCTCTGGAATCCTTGAGAGTGTCTCTAGAAATGACAAGGTTGTCGATGCTTGAACTTGTGTCTTACGATACAGAATAACAGATAGGGTGTTAGAAAAACAGCATAAGCAACACACTTGCTTGCCTTGTAATGATGATGAACATTGTGGGGCATTTTTTCGGGGGAAAAAAAGTGGCAAATGCATGGGAAGAACTTCACCTTGATGGTATCCACTGGATGCATTAAAAAAGCAGAGAAAGCACATGAAATTCCTCCAGCAAGCGCCGATTTGAAAAGATTCCCAGCATCTAACCCTGATTTTGGACTAACCAGAGGAGCGGTGCTTTCAGATTTAAACCGCATACTCCTGCATACACCAGAAAACAGACAAAAACTATCATCTTTGTCGTAATCGGTTGTGTACATAAATAAAGAATTACACTAAAATTTATGATTTCTTTTCAAGAATCACTCTAACCTTGTACCATCCTCGAGCCGACCTGAAGGCAACAAGCTTGTGGAATTCCTCGAACAAACATTATCAACATCTTCACCATCAGATAGAACACCATCATTTTCACCATCACTCTTCTGTGGAGAATAAACATTTGCTCCCACATCATCCTCATTTCCGAAAACAGGACCATCTTTTGCAGCTCCTTTGATCGAAGAAGTTACACGACTTACTCTAGGAGACAAACTTCCGACTCTTGCAAACTTCAAGCTCCCCGACATGCCAGTCAAATCTTCCTTCCAGGTATCCCAACCACAATTAGTGATCTTCATAGCATTGTTTAGAGGTAAACCGCGAGATGGCTCTGCATAATCTTGACCATCGTAGGTACTTTTCTTCGGAAAAGGGTCAAGCTTTTGGAGATTCATGGTCAACTGATTGACAACCAAACATACAAGAGCTTCAACCGATGCATATTTTCCTTTCAGAGTCATGTCACCGTTTTTCGCAGCACTTCCTTTTGCATTCCCAACTTCAATCACCATTCTTAAATTTGACATGTCAGTTGATGAACATAGAAAATCCGGATCTTCGTCATCCCGAACAATCTCAGGCCTCTTCTTCCTGATCTTCTTTGGCCTTGGGAACTCCCATACAATCCTGTGAGCCATCAAAGACAACATAATTCAGGTAGCAAACTACTACACTCTAACTCGGTGCCAACATCTAACGAAGGATTCTAAGGCAAGTGGGAGTGTTGTATTATTAGTTTCTAAAAACCAGCAGAAACATTCTTATTATGAGTGCCAAAAACACAAAATCGTCATAATTGTATCTCGAATGACAATCCAAAAATCATGAAACCTGGGAAACCAATTTGAATAAGGAAACTCATAAAACGAAGACCTTCTCTCTTGTTTCATGATGGAAATCCTTGGCTATTCTCGGTTTTTTCGCAGGAACACCTGGGAGAGAAGATAAAAGGGGTGAATTATCTTAAAACTAGCTCTTCAAGGTCTATAAACGTTGACATCTTCACCAATCATTATAATCAGCAGTATCACAAGTATTTCAAACAAAACGCTAGCAAACATGACGAACATACAACTAGTTCATATGGGTTCTTTTGATTCCCCAAGAATGTTTTTAGCCGAATCCAGATTCCAAGGCATTAGTTGCCTCAGACCTCAGACTGCATACTGAATTACTGATGATCTTGCCACCATGCCCCCTTTCGATACTGAAGCACAAACATAGCAAAGGAGCCAAAGCAAAAAACATGGCATAAAGCTGAAGCCCAAACATGATGCTGAAGCACAAATTACAATATAGTGTGAAGGAACCAATAGTAAAAAAAAAAGCCATGAAGCGCAAAATTCAGTCACATACATAGACGAAATTCAAGGATCGAGCAAGCTTAAGGTCATAAATGCCGTACAATCTTTAGCCTTGGTAATGCTTCCTCCGACCATCAATCAACAATCAACCCAAAGCCATGTGAAATCAGAAATTATCGAACATGAACATAACCATCAAAATAAGGCAAGTGGAGGATCCTCTAACATGCGAGAACTCGTACACTAACTTTAAGAAAAGAATTCTTAGATGGATGAGAAATACAGAAGTATAATTATAGGAACCTAGAACGATCAGATGTATTTATTCATGAAAGCAAGTAGCGGATTCAGCTTCAGGGAAGCTACAAGATCGCAACCGTGCGCGTGCCCAAATTCCTAGCGCCGGTCAACGTCGGTCAACGCCGGAACATTCGAACTTCTCGGGAGTAGGTCTAGACCAACGGGAGTGCTCCAAAACCGGTTTTAGGTTCCCGAATACGAACCAAACGAGGTCAGATTGACCCGAAAATGTATCCGATCTTAACGTTTCCGGTGAGTTTCAAGCGGGATCGGCGGAATTTCCGTTCGCCAGAGTGCGGCTGTGGAATCCTAAGATCGAGAGCAACATGACCCATGTCTCGATTTCGATCCCAAAAAAACAAGCCGACGAATAATCACCATCAACGACGATACGAAGCTGACGTCCATGGAGGGAGAAGAAAGAAGCGACGACGACGAAGGCTTACCATGTGGCAATAGATTTGACCAAATCTCGAGAGGAACACAGCAGAGAGAGTTCGAAAGCGAGAAACGAGTATCTGCTTGGGAGTGTGATGGGAATCTCATGATTTATTCATTCGCATTCCAAAGGAAAATGGGAAATACACATTTTCTTGATTATATTTTGGATTTGGATATTTTGAATTTTAAAAAATTACAATTATTCGATTATTATATTAAATTTGATTTGACTCGATTCAAATATATTTCGTTCGGGTTTGATTCAATTTTGATTTTTATTAGCAAAAATATTCATATTTTATAAAAGTTAATTTGATTTGTATATCAAATTCGGTTCATTTGAAATGTTCATTGACCAAATGACGTTAGCACGTGCATGTCTCGTTTTTATTGAAAGCGAGGACACTTGTTAGTTATTTATTACCTTCTCCAAAAACCAAACTGAAAATATATAAAATAAAAATAAAAAGGAAAAGATGTAAAGCATACAACTTAATCCTTCAAACTAGAGATATCATAAATTTAATTTAATTTATGAAAAATAAGTTCTTTATGTAAATGCCTAAACCGTTAATTTAATCATGTAGTCGTAATCAAATCAATAAATTTCCTTTCAAAATCCAAATTAAAAACTAATCAGATATTAAGAGCATTACAATGTCATTAAATGTATTATTTAGAAGTTACAGTGTTATTAACTACATTTAGTATAAGTTAAGTTAGGATGTCAATTTTGGGCCGAAGTTTGAAGTCCGCTCCAAATCTATTCGAAAAATATCGGATTTCGAAACCTAAAAAAATAGCACTTTTAGATCGGATTCAAATCGATTTTCGGATTACTCCAACAATCCGAATCTTTTTAAAATAAAATAAAATATCAATTTACAAATTGAACGGACAAATCTAGTCACGTCCGAACCTAAAATCTATAGATTGGATTTCGGATTTGATTGTTCAGACCCGAAAAAATCGGGTCGACCTGAACTCAAACCAAAGCCATCGGATTGACTGCGGGTTCGATCCGATTGACACCCTAATTAGGGTCAATAATCGATTTTCTAACATATCATAAAGTTGTTTAATCTCTTTATAGGTCACTAAACTACAGAGTTAATTTAGTTTCTTCAATTTCTATTTGATACTGAAAAAATCGTGTTTGGTTTCAAACCGCGGATAAATTGGTTAACGTTCGGGCCTCACCTCGTGTATATAATGAAATTAAATATATATATATATATATATATATATATATATCCTCCCAAAATTTTAAACTAAATATCTTCGTAATCAGTTTGATAATTTTTTAATTATATTTTCTCTCTCTTCTTCTTATTCTTATTTTACTATTTCCAAATTGTAAAATAAAATGCATTATCTCGTTGGTTTTTAAAAAAGAAATTAGTAATTTTTTTCATCGATTCTAAAATCACATTTGATTACGCCGGCTGTTGATTTCCATCACATGAAATTTCAAACAGATATTTTTTGGAAACTCAAATTCCAACATAAAACTACATGTGATTACGGTTTTCTACCTGCCTTTTTTAATTTATTCTAACTGTTTTTTTAAGGAAAAAAAAGGAAAATGATATTTCCTGCAAGAAAAAAGGCAACAAAAAACAACAGAACGGTGTTCACAAATCTAAGTCCCTTCTATCCGTCGATTGAAATATAATCTAACGGTCAGAAATCAAAAAACGAAATTTGAATTTCAAAATATATATATAAAAAAGGCAACAAACAGAACAGTGTTCGCCTTATATAATGAGCACAAGACAAGACAACACCTGAAACTCTTGCAGCTACTGGTTTGTTTCAATGGGAGGACTAAGGAGAAAGATTTCGATGGAGAGAATAGAGAAGAAGGAGAAGAGATCGTTGGCTTTCACCAAACGGCGCGACGGTCTTTACCGCAAAGCTTCGGAGCTTTGTCTCCTCTTCGATGCCCGCATCGCCATTTTAGCCACTCCTCCCACCTCCAATTCCAACGTCTCCTTCTACTCCTTCGGCCATTCCTCCGTCTCCGACGTTGTCGACGCTTTCCTCGAGAACCGTAGGCCCTCCGATTCGAACGATTGTCTCTCGGAACTCTCCGGTTGCGGGATGAGGAGTGGAGGTCGAGGTCTAGGGTTTTGGTGGGAGGAAGAGGGCTTCGACATGTCGGAGAACATGGAGGATCTGAAGGATGCGATTGATGAGATTCAGAAACTGAAGAACGATGTGGATCTGAGATTGAAGGCGATGAAAGATCGACAAGATTCTTGCAACGACGCTTTAAGAGAGATCGAAGCCTTTCTAGACGAACCAGAGCAAGAATCGGATCAAAGTCCTTTTCTTGCAAAAGAAATTCAAGATTTCTGGGTCCAATGTTTCAGCAACAATGACGCAGAAGACGTTTACAGTAACCTCGGTGTCTCGCCAAGTCAGACGGAGAAAACCTCGGAAGATAACGACGTTATTCTGATATCAGACTCAGAGGATGAATCTGCGAAAGGCGACGTTATCCTGATATCAGACTCGGAGGATGAATCTGCGAAAGACGACGTTTTCCGTAACGAAAACTGGAGAAACGAAGCAGGAGCAGCGATAGAATCCGGTACGGGATGCAAGAACAGAGTAGAAGATCCTCATTTGGATGATCTTCTGATAGATTTGATCTATTGACGCGGCTTAGAATCTTCCAGGATGAATAGGATTTCGAGATATAAAGTAATTTTTTCCCTGATCGATACTCTTTCTCTTTTGTAAATGGTACACGAACATGAGGGAATGAATGTATTTTCGCAATATCTATCCGAACAGACACAGTTCGGTTACAGTTTTAACTGAATGACAAAGATCTCATTGGATATCTTCACTGGAAAGTACAATGGAGTTCAAGAACAGTTCCGATGTCTGGATACGGGATTGTTCATGAACTCAAACAATTTCTTCCACATGCCGCCGATTCTCGGTTCGCAAATGACGGTAACTGTCACCGTCGAAAACATTCAGAATCTCACATTCATCTCGAAGAAAATCACGGATGAAGACACGGATTGCGGAAAGAGGAACCTCGGTGTCGAACCAAGCTGAAACAAATGCTGGTGAGGAACAATTTTCAGACAAAAACATGAACTCCGGAGTTGAAGGACTTCAAGATGTATCCAACGGGACATATCGGATCCGAACAAGACATGGACTTTACCCAATCTGAACCTGCTAGAATCTCTGACAGCAGTTTCTGGATGTCTTAAAGACGAGTGCGGGCATAGACTGCGATAACTTCGAATGGAGGCAACGGGTCCATAGCAAGTTTATCAAAGTACTCGTGAGATTTGTATATGTGCTGAGCAATTTCTTCATACTCAGTGTTCTAATGAACAATGTTTTCTCGTTCAAATAAATCTCCATATTTCCACACATACACTCATAATCATAGAATCCAATAACCATAAAATAAAAAAAGATCGAAACTTTCAAGTGACCCTTCAATCAACGGAACTCCAAGCTCACGATGGCAGCTTACAATAAAAAGTTGGAAGCAATACCACACAAACAAAGTCATCGTCTCAACAAGAGAGGAAATGAAGAGTAAGAGGGAGATGATGGTGATGGTGATGGTGATGGTGGTGATGATGATACGAAGACTCTCGCTCGATCTGCCACCGGATTTGGAGGAAATCATCGACGGAACAAGGCAGTCTCAAGGGGCCATTCGAGTGGTGAATGATGGTAATTTGATATGTAGATTAATTGGTTTAATTTTTTTAATATTCTTCTTTTTATTCTAATATCAGATTTTTTTAATATAACATAAGACATTACAATATTTATACATCAACATCAACATAGTCCCAAAATTACAATATTTATATAAAATAAAATAAAATCATAGACCATCTTATTTGATTATTATAAATATCGAATATAAACATAAAATCAAATCAAATATAACTATAAAACCAACCCTAAACTCTAGGGTTTAGAGTCTAAAAATCCAAAGATTACGATTGACTGCTAGAAATAAGGATTTACAATTTAATATATAGCATTATAAATTAGTAATAGTCAAATAAGAGAGAATTTAAAAAAAATGCAAAGTGGTCCGACAAAATAATCAGGAGTAGAGAAAATGTCTCAAACTGCATAAACAAGGATTAATGTTCTCGAGATCTTTTATACAGACTATTAACCCACGAGATGACGGTATTGAGCAGAGACATATAACCATCGGAAACTCGCCGACCATTTTTACACGCAAACATTGGCTCCTGACCTTAGACTCGAACAGACGAGAGAGGGTTTCCCGAACCGAGCCTTCTCTTTCTCAGCCGCTCAGCGGTGATGAAAGCGAGCTCAAGTGACTGAGAAGCATTGAGCCGTGGGTCGCAGTGTGTGTGGTAACGAGAGCTCAAGTCGTTGTAGGTTATGGTACGCGACCCTCCAACGCATTCCGTCACGTTTTGACCCGTCATCTCGAGATGAATCCCGCCTGGGTAGCTCCCTTCCTGTTCATGCACGTCAAAGAACGCTCTCACCTCAGCCTGCAACCAAAAAGATTCCCGACGTGAATTCGTAAACCATGCTTTTAGCCCATGTCTTGGATGAACGGGTTAAACGTGGCAACATTCATTACCAGGATGGAATCGAAGGAACGAGTTTTGAGCCCACACGGTGCTTTGATGGTGTTCCCGTGCATGGGATCACTAACCCAAGTCACAATCTGACCGGCTCGACGCACTGCTCGGATCAAATGTTGAAGCTTTACCCGCATGTTCTCTGCTCCCATTCTCACAATAACCGTAATTCTCCCAGGCTTGTTATGAGGGTTCAGTATCTCGATTAGCTTCACCAGCTCATCAGGGACCATTTTATCACTTACCTACATCAAAATACACCATCATCAAATGGATATGGCTAATACAGAATCGAAATTCCTTTTCTTTTCGATAAAATCCATGCAATTGACAGTTTGTTTATCATGATGCAATAGGAAACTGTCCGAGGTATCATACTTATCACTAACAATCTGTCCCGAGTGATTCAACAACGCTAATGAAACTCTACCGCAAGCACATTTCGGTGATTTACTAAAACAACTTTGAAATAAACTTGACCGACTAAGACATGGACAGGCAAGATGAGCAAATCATCGACATTGAGCATGTACCTTGATTCCAAGAGGGTTTGCAATTCCCCTCAGAAACTCGACATGGGCACCGTCCAGTTGGCGAGTTCGTTCCCCAACCCACAGCATGTGAGCCGAGCAGTCATAGTAAAGTCCTGTAGTTGAATCTTCTCTAGTGAGTGATTGCTCATAAGGCAGGTGCAAACACTCATGGGATGTCCAAAAGTCTGTAGTGGTCATGATAGGGTGCGCATTGGTAAGTCCAGCTGCAGCCATGAACCCTAAAGCTTCGTCAACTCGATGTGCTAATTCACGATACCTGCTTTGGTCGGTCACAATGCAAAATAAGAAGCTCCATGAGAAATAAGGCTGATTCTGACTCAAGAAAGGCTTATGCTATCCGGACATGACATGGTTTCACATCCAAGGACAGAGTAGGATGGATCCAAAGAAGAGACTTTTCGGGGTATTTGCACGAAAGAAAAATTATTGACCTGTCACCCTGCTCACTATGCTCGGTGAAATCAAGATTCCATTGGCTTACTCTCTGCATTGCTGCATAGCCACCGGTTGCAAATGCCCTCAGGAGATTCAACGTTGCCACAGATTGTGTATATGCCCTAATCATCCTGTGAGGATCAGGAATCCTCGATTTCTCATCGAAAGCATCACCGTTTACATTATCTCCTCTGTAACTCGGCAGCTTCACACCATCTTTCTCCTCGAAAGGGTCGGACCTTGGCTTTGCAAACTGACCCGCCATTCTTCCCACCTATATCATAATCACAACCCAGTATGACGATAATCCTAGAGCACGAACAAGAACACGATATAAAAGATCATGCCTAATCGAGAAAACAAACACAAAGAAACACACCCCAAACATGGCATTTGAAATTTCATCATCAGGAAATTACCGGTGACCAATTCAATCAACACGACAATACTTGTCTCGATTACTCGGGGAAGTTCGAATATGGGCACCAATGAGGATCAAATGACCGAAGAAACACGGATGCGAAACTTAACCCAGAATTAGAAACAGAACAACGCACAGGAAACCAATTGTAACAAAACCCCGAGATCAAATTCGAAATCAAAATGAGAGACCTTGATAACAGGCATTTGACCACCAAACATGAGAACTACACCCATCTGGAGAAGAACCCTGAAGGTATCCCTAATGTTATTAGCATTGAATTCCTTGAAACTCTCTGCGCAATCGCCTCCTTGGAGCAAGAAGGCGTTTCCTATGGCGGCTTGGCCAAGCTTCTCCTCCAGCTTCCTCGCCTCGCCGGCGAAGACGATCGGAGGGAAGGAGGAGAGCGTCTGGAGAACCGAGTCGAGGTCTTTCTGATCTGGGTACTCCGGCAACTGCAAGGCTTTCCTCGATTTCCAGCTCTCGAGGCTCCATCTCGCCGGATTCGATGGCGATGCGGCCGCGGGTTGTGAGGGATTTGTGGGGTCGACGGAGTGTACGGCAGAGATGGATAGGACGGAGCGGCGATTGCGGTGGCTGCGGCTGTAGCGGTGGGTGAAGAGGGACTTGGCCGGGAAAGGAGAATAAGCGTTGAGAGTCGCCATTCGTGGTGAAAGAGAGGATTTTGGGATTGACGATGACGACGACGACTGGTTCGTTCGAAGTTTTTTGAGAAAGACACGTTCGTGATGATTACATCATTGGGGGCGTAAATGGACCCGACTGTGCCGGCCCAACCCCTCTCGATGTCCGATCTTGTTTTTTTACCGGAGTCAGAAATATTTCACTCAACCCGATTCACTCTATAGTCTACATCAATAGAATTCGAGTTACATACCTAATTAAATCAATACAATTTAAAAATAGATTATAATAGATTAAATGTTTTAAAATAAGATTCAAAAAGGAATATCACAACAAAAAATATTTAAAAAAATGCTCCATAACTCCAACGAATTGGCTCGTTTGATCCGGTTTTTTACCATTTGAATTTACTGAACCGGATCCATTTGAACACCCTTGCATCAATCAACTGAAGTTCGTGACCAGCCAAAACTAGACTACTATACGGATAAATGTTCAGAAGCCGATATACATAAAATTTGTCAAATCGACTCTTGTAAGTTATACCAACTAACACAATGAACAATTATATACCCAAATTCGTTGCATAAAACTGATGGGTTAGAATTTCATTAAAAAAAAATCCCAAAATCTAAAAATATATGAACTATCAAAAAGTCTCAAATAAGTAGAAATTGTTTTCCATAAGTACATCAATTATTTTATAATTTTCATGAAAATAAATAGATTTTAAAAAATCACATGATTTCCATCGTAATAAAAATATACTATACGAATTTTTAATTAACAAAAAACTATACTAGAATTTTAAATGTGTCAAATACCTACATTAAATCCTAAAATCGTTAGCAATTTTTTTATATAACTTTAAACGGCGTTAATTTTTCCGATCTTCGTTAAAGAAACAGATAGTATAGCAATACACATTACCAATTCCGTCACATAAATTTATCACGTGTCAAAAATAAAAAATAAAAAAACATATACATACATATATAAACACATATATATACATATGACACCTATATATACACAAATATAATATATATATATATGTATATAGTCTTAACCGATTGATTAGTATAGTAGGTTAACTCAATCCATATAATTATATATATATATATAGAGAGAGAGAGAGAGAGAGAGATGATATTCAGACAGATTGTTGACAAAAGGTGTTCTACGGCTTCACATTATAATAGATGCAATTTTGCATTTCTTGCAAAAATGATTTAATATTGTTCATGATGCTTTGAAACCTAATCATCTCCTTGGAACATCCTTTTCCACATTCTTGTGTCTTTTAATCATGCTTATGGATAAGGAAAATCAATGTTATGGGATATGCAGAAACTTCAAATAAAAATATAAAAACTAATAGATGTATATTTTTCTTAACTTCATTACCAATTCAAATCTTTAAAATGTTAGTATTAAATGTAATTATCTTATAATTAATTGAAGACCATATACATTTTCATGTACCTCAGCCTTATATTTTAAGCGTAAAGAGATATGAAAAAGGTTTTTGTTGGGATTATTTTCAATAATCATATGGACCAACATTTGAATCAATTAAGTCATGTATAATATATTATTTTATTTAAATCATATTTATGATCTAATTAAGAACTAAGGGATCTAATTGTCGGGACTAATGTACATATGCTATTATGTTATTTCTATTTTTTATAGACCAAATTGGAAATAAATAACTTTTTTTATAAATTAAAGATTATGTTTTGTAGATCACACATTTTTCAAGAATTTTACAATATTATATTGTGAGAATTATTTCTACTTTTTGTATATTATTCTAAAATATCATAAATCCCAATCGTTTTTACGATGTTATATGTTAGATTCAAAATTTATTTCTATATATCTAAAAATTTAGTATCGTTAATCGTTCAAAGAATAACAGGTTTAACCATAATATAATAATTTATATAAATCAGTTATAATTTATGTTATTTTAATTTTGAATGTTTGATTATATATTTAGTATATCGGTGCGCATGTCTATAAAACATTTTTTTAATAAAAAAATGAATTTATCAAGTTATTAGGAAAATTATTTTTTTTTTACAAAAAAAAATATATTTACTTCACGTGAAATTAGACCACCGAGTGGTTGTGCGTGTCAGTCATAGGCTTTCCATGCATATACCATCATTACATAGCCAAGAATTACCATAAGCCAGATTTGTATTAATTTATTAAAAACGCATCTTATTCTCTTTCAATCCAACTAGAAAAAGTATGCGCAGATGCGCAACTTCTCTAAAGAATTTAATAAATAACCTCACATAAATAATTAATATAACATAATTATTCATGCATATATACGTAGAAACTAACTCTATAAAAAAATATACATAATTATTAATTATATGCATATATACTATTAAAAAACAGTTTCGACAGATTGCAAAATCTGATACAATCCCAAATTACAAAAAAAAAAAAAAAGAGTACCACATAGGTAGACATAATAAAAAGAAAATAAATATTTTTTACATAAAAGATTTAAAAGCGTTTTTTTATGGGATTATGTTCAAATGTCACCTTTTGGAAAGAGGTAAGCCATAACTGATTTGATTTCGAATTTAATTTACAATCAATGATGAGCAAAGAACCATCAAAACCCAAAATTTAAATTTTCAAGTTAGAGTTTAATGGCAATTGTTTCTGTAAAGTTGCTTTGCCTCGTTTTATTTGCTGTTAGCCATAAGAGAGCCTTGTCAAAGACTAATAGAATAGGAAGATTCATATTTTGTTTGATAACCGGGTATCTTATATCAAGGTTCACACTAATTTCGAAATAGAGAGTCAACTATATAATTTTGATTATACATTTTTCAATTTAAAATTCGAATTCAAGATGGGTACATGCTTTATACCCAATTTTACCGGTTGAATTATTCAAGTTTGAGTAAGATTCACATATTTTTTATATAATTTAAAAAAGATTATTCTTTGTACCATTTTTTCGGGATGAAGTAAAGAATCGAAGGTGTCGAGAACCAACAATGTTTCAATTCTTATTTGGTACTAGTACCATTAAATAAATTGTAATCGAACCGATATAAAAATCGAATGGAATCGGATCGATTAATATTTGATTCTAATTTTTTATTTAACTGAATAAACTAAACTGTTTTTGAATTGAATCGGATAAATACCGAACTAATGGAGACAATAATAAAATGTGCAAATAAACGTTGAATAAGGGGGTGAGATGACTGAGCGGGGGTTGCTGACAACGAAGGTGATTTTATATAATAGAAGAATTTTGATATTTTTATTTGATTTATTTAAAAGTTTTATTAAATTATATTTTAATAAGTTAAAAAATTAAAATTACTAAATATATTTAAATTTTCTCTAATAACTATAATGATAACAATAATTATTTTACAATGTGATACAAATTTATTGGTTTCTACGAGTCATCAAAATATAAGTTCAAGTAAAAAGTGAAAGACGATGAGATAATGGAATTTAACAGTATTATCATTTTAAAGGCCGTGGAACATTTGGTAACTTTGGATATGCTTTTGTAACATACAAAATCGTATCCAAAGTCGACAGCCAAGGCCACTTCTGTATTTTTATAATGTCAAATCAAAATGGAACGTTATTATTGCAAAGAATAAATAGTGAGCGGATTTTAAAAATGTAACATTATTGTTCATTTTTTTCCTCCTCGTTGATACCATGACTGATTTAAATAAAAATATTGGACACTAATAATAGGTTTTTCATTAAATTATTACCAAAATAAAACGGAAAAATGATTTAATTTATTTAAAAGTCTAACAAAATAAACATGTAAAAAAGAATATAACAATAGAATAGAAATAATTCATAGTAAACTTGTTGATAATTCAGATAACATGTTTTCTGGGACGAAATTTAGTGAATACCTAACTTCAAATTTAGTGAATACCTAACTTCAAATTTAGTGAATACCTAACTATACAGATTTTCTCATAACATTACCCTCCCAAATAATCTCTATATATTTTCTAAAAAATGAAAAATTTCCCAACAATTAAAGTTGTATCCAATTCTCCCCAAAAAATTTCTATTTATAAATACCCAAAAAACCCATCAAATTTTATCAAAGAAGTAGAAAAAACCGCCATTCGTTAGATATTATAGTTGGAGGAAATATGTTTTTTTGATATTTTTCTAAAATTAAAATAGCTTGGTAAAAGGTTTTCCTAACGTATAGAAATAAAAAGAACCCATTAGATGGAAAGAACAGTGGCGGTCCAATGTATTTTTGAAATGCAAATATATCATTTAATCATTTGGTCGGCTGTGAGTCTTGTCACCATTTCAAATTCATAATTTTATTTGCATTAGTTTTAAAATCCTTCTTGCAAGCCTTTGTGATGATTTACTGTTATACTTTTATTTGAAAAATACTTGTGGGCCTTTTTTTTGTGTGAAAAAAACAATTTAAAAATAATGGTATTTCTATATTTCGAAATTTACAAATATTAAAATGGACAGAAGAAAACAGAAAACTTAATAAAATCTATTTAATTGTTTAAATCTCTAACATAATTTGAATTTTTTTTAAATAAGTGTTATAACAAACAATCATCAATCTAAAAATTAAGAAAAAAATATACGATATAAATAAATAAAGAAACATATCATAAAAATCTATATATATATATATAACAAAAAAATCAACGCAGAAAAAAAAGGAAGGTACAAAAATAAGCAGGAAGCAGAGGTTACAAAAGAATCGGTACCACAAAGAAATCAATAGAGAGACAAACTCGCAAATAAAAAAATTAGTAACATCTATTGGTAATTGATCATTTTTACGCAGCCGCAGCCGCAGTCGTAGATAAAGAACTAGAAACAAACGCAAAGGCGAAACGCCAACCACAGCGGTTGGATCGGGGATGGCATGGCATGGGTCATGGGACACGTAGCCACGTAAAAGCACACTCTTGCCACCTTTGTATGCACTTTCCTGCACTTTTCCCTAGGGGGTGTCAAAACGAATCCGGCTCGCGAGCTGGCTCGTGACTCGTCAGAAAACGAGCGATCTGAGCCGTAATTTTTTCAGCTCGTTAAAAAATGAGTCTAACGAGCCAGAGCTCATTGAACACGTGTTCAATAAGCCTGGTTCGGCGAGCTGGCGAGCTGCTCAACGAACTGATATTTTTTTTAAAATAAATTAAATTTATATAAAAAAACTCTAATATAATTTTATATTAATTTTTTTCATATCATTTATATGATATTATAAATATACTAATTATTATGATGGTGATAATTGAAAATATTAAATGATATTGGTGTTTTATTAAATTTTTATGTATTTATTTAAATTTATAATAATATTTAAAATAAATATAAATAAAAAATATTATATATCCTTGGTTCAACGAGTCGGCTCGTTCAGATCGAAAAACTGGCGAGCGATCTGAGCCGAGATTTTTCTGACTCGTTAGAAAACGAGCCTAACGAGCTGAGCCCAAAACGATCCGAGCCAAATGAGCTGAGCTCAAAACGATCTGAACTGGCTCGTTTGACACCCCTACTTTTCCCTAGGGGGCCGGGCGTTTCGGTTCGGTTCTTCAGAACCGAACCGAACCGAACCGAAAAAACGGGATTTTTTCCGATCCGAAACCGTTTTTAATTCCCGAAAGGTACCATTTTTAGAGAACCGAATTTTTTCGGAACCGAACCGAACCGAATTTTAAAAATCCCGAAAAACCGAATATTTTTAAAGAAAATCTATCTTTTTTAATAAAACCCAGAACATAACCGAACCGAATACAATATAAAAACCGATTGATACCTATTTTTAAAAAACCAAAAAAACTGAACCGATCCATTCTCATCCCAAACCCGAACCGTTTTCCGAAACACCCACCTCCTACTTTTCCCCTAGCCCTCCATCCATCCATCATTACCATTTTCCTCATCCTTTCAACTTTTCCTTTATATATTTACACATCTTTTCATTATTTATTCATATATCTTTTTAATTGTTTTTACCATAAAATTTCCATTCCAAATTACCATATTACTGTGTTTATTTATCTCATCAAAATTCGGTTTATAAGCACGTAGATATTAGAATTAAATATCTCTATTTTATCTTTTGACTCTAAATTTGTCCAAAATTTCTATTCATCATTCTTTTTCCGTCGTTATATACATGTTGATATACATATATATATACACACAACATATTGACATGCATTTTCAGAAATTGAAACGTTTCATTTCAAAACAACGAATTTCATTCTCAAAAAGCATTTGTAATGAGAACATATGATTACTAATTCTTTTTCTTCTCTTTCGGCGATAGAAAGTGGGAAAAAAAAACAATTCCGTTTATTTAACACAGCCATAGAGATACACTCAAGAGTCAGAACCACATCTCTCACTCTCTGTGTCTTGTATCATTCATTTTCTCTCTCTCTCTCTTTGTTGGAACGTGGGATGGCGTGCAGAGCGATAACAGCGGCGGTTCTCCTCATGGCGGCGGTGATCACCGGCGGAGGAGTAGCGGAGGCGGCGGCGGTGGACTGCTCGACGCTGATACTGAACATGGCGGACTGCTTGTCGTTCGTGACGAGCGGGAGCACGGTGGAGAAGCCGGAGGGGACATGCTGTTCAGGCCTGAAGACGGTGGTCAGGTCTGGTCCCCAGTGTCTCTGCGAGGCATTCAAGAACAGCGCCTCCCTCGGTGTCACCTTGAACGTCACCAAAGCCTCTACTCTCCCTTCCGTCTGCAAAGTCGCCGCTCCTCCTTCTGCTCGCTGCGCTCGTCAGTCTCTCTCTCTCTCTCTCTCGATCGTTCTTCATCCATCCAGATATAAGATTTGTGTTAAAAGTGTATGAAAACTCTGATAAAAGCTGGATATTTTGTCGTGTTGCAGTCTCTGTCGTTCCTCCGGCTAGTGCTCCTGGTATGTTCGGTCCCCTCTCACGTTATACTTTCTCAGTTTCGGCCTTTTTCGGGGCATAAATGTCCGAACCGATGTCCAAATCCAGAATCCTAACCGGTCTGGTCCTAGTTCGAGTCTCAGGATCGAGTTTGCAGAATCTAGATTGAAATCGAGCTCGTAATACATCTTCAAACTCCAATCTCTGTGTTGTTCTTGCGCAGGCAAAGCTCCTGCCGTGGCTGCCGGTGCACCCGAATCATCGGCCGGAGGGAACAAGGCGGCGCCGGTTGCAGCCCCCGCTCTTGTGCCGGGGAGTTCTACGTCCTCGTCGGTATCGGTTTCTGCAGTATCTCTCGTCGTTGGCCTGTTCCTTGGGCTGATCTCTTGGTTCTGATGAGTCATGGATCGGTTTGGATCTTTACCACTATTGAGATGGTGCTATTCATGTACTGATTTGTTTGGCAATATGTTTGTTTGATTTTGAAATAGAGTTATTTCCTTTGGATTTTTTTTTTAAAAATATCACAATTTATCTAATCTCGATTTTTAAATTAAAAAATAAATACAATAATTTGGTCAATTTATACTAAATTAATATCAATTCAGTATATATTTGGCACAAATTTTTGTATAAAACCATCAACAGATTGATGTATTTATTTAGCAATTTGAAATTCGAGGTGTTTATGTGGTACATTTATATAAATTGTGGTACGTTGGTTTAAGTGAATAAACGTTTTGTTACAAAATTATGATTATGTTTCAGTGGACTTAGAAATCACCTTATCATTGGTAATAAATGTGACGAGAGGATTGGCAAAGATGTCTTCTCATGTTGCTGACAGAAGAGGAAGAAATGTCTCCGAAACTACAAGAACAGGGGAAGCCTCTAAACGAGGCAGAAGTTTTCTTCACTTTTTATTATCATGATAAACACAATAATCTATTATTAGTATGTGAATATGGTGCAATAGAACATGGTCCCAAAATTTGTGTGACCCCTTATTTTAAAAAAATAATAAGAATAAATATTCAAGTAATTATAATAATGATGAATATTGGAGATTGGAGATCGAAGAGAATGGAGATAGAGGGAAGAAAGGAATAGGGCAAGAAAGCCGAAATGAGGGGAGGAAAACGATAGGAGAATTAGGGTTTCTTATGGGCCGAAGGAAATATTATTAAGGTCCAATACATGTCTATGGGCTGGCCCATTTCCAAGCCCGTATTTAGTCCGAAAAGCGAATGGGCCTCCTTTTTGAAAGCCCAAACCAATAAAATTTACGGACGGACTCGGATCTCGGATCGAGTAACGGGCCTTGGGCTTTTTATGACGCTTCTATCTCCACTAAATATACTTCTAATTATTTTATTTAATTTGACCACTTCTTTTCATATTACTCTCTCTGAATATCCTTCTTTCATTGTATTAGGTTACTCGTTATGTAATTTATTTTTTTTCTCGGTTGTTTTCATTTTACTATTCTAATTTAACCTAACGTCAAACTTAAACTCTAAATTCTGAATATAAAATTTAAAATCTAAACTAATCCTAAACTCTTAAATAGAATTTACGGTTTCAGATTTAGAATTGGTTCGCAAGTTTTTATTAGTTTAGGGTTTAATATTTAATATCTATGGTTCAAGACAAATTAGGAATAGTTAAATTATAAAAATTGAAAAAAGAAAAAGTATTATCAAATATCTAGTAAAATAATTGAAAAATATTAAAGAATATATGGCATTATTCATCAATTTCGTTTTCTTTAGAGATTTCTAAGTTACAAAACCCGATTCAAGCCCATTCCTAGTGAACCTAGGACAACCCAAACGCATTGCTAAAAGGGTTTAATTGATCACTTTCGGCCGACTTATGATGCTTCTTAGGACGTAGCATATTCAATTAAAATAAATTTAAACATCAATAAAACATATTTTTAATCACATGAATATGATTCCCAATTATAATCAGAATATAATATAAAAAATATATATAAAATTAGGGGTGGTCATTTCGGTTATTAACCGAATAACCGAGCCGAACCAAACCGGATTGAATAAGACATAACCATATCTGAACCGAAACCGACATCAAAACCAAACGGTTATTATTTTCTTAAAACCGAAAAAATAAAACCGAACTGAATAAAAAATAACCGAAAAACCCGATAATTTCTTTGAAAAAATGAATTTTTTACCGAAACGAACCGAAAAATAACCGAACCGATTCGAATCGAAATTTATATAAAAACCGAATGGTTATAATTTTCATATAACCGAAATAAACGAACCCGAATATAACCGAACCGAACCGAACCCGAAATGGTCACCCCTGTATAAAATGTTAAACAAGCATTTTTTTTGGTAATTAAATTAATAATGAACCGAGGAAAGGGGGTATAAACTGTAAACAAACTTGTTAAAATATTTAAAATCGGAAATATTTATTTGTATTTATTTAGTAGTTTGAACACAGGGACAAAGCGATTGGGTTCATAAACTAGACGATTAAAATAATACTAATTGTTTCTAACTTATTTAAATAACAATTTGGATCGGTGAAGATTACGTATTATAATATAAAATATAAACATTATGTGAAAATAACAAATTGGATTTAAATAAGGCACTTTTGGTTGACAAACCACAACGCGTAATGTATCGTTACTTTTTATGAAGATAATATATTTAAATATAAAATATATATCTCAATTCAGTATTTTCATATCTTGGCCGGGACGGCAAATTCAGCCGCCGGAATGTATGACGGAGAAATGGAAGAATCAAGAGCTTTCCGGCGAAAAATTTTGTCGTTCGCTGTCTTAATCTTCTCCTCGGAAGATCTCGTCAAAGACAAGCACCAGACAACTCAACCAGAAGATAACGTACCTTGATTCTCTCCGTAAATTTCTACATTTTGAATTACAATATTCCTCGTGCTCAGCATAATTTTCCATGGAATTTGAATTTTATTTTCCCTTGACCGATCGAGGATTCCTAAACAATTTTCTTCATAGGGTTGTTTTTCCATGTCGCGTGATATGAAATTGTAATTCCAGTGTTCTGAGGAGTTTCCGTTTTCACATTAGTCAAACACTGTATAAATCGAATTATTAATTCCATATTCGATTTCGTCAATGATTTTCAGGAGATGGGCAGGTGGAGATTAGGGTTTTTGCTGAACTTGAAGCAGTAGTTAAGGTCAGTGTGAAGCCAATAAGCCCATAGTTTTCCACATTTTTTGAATATTAGAAGATTGTTTGCTGACTAGAGTGTTAATAATTGAGATAATTGGGTATATTCTTCTGAAGATGTGTTAATATTATATGGATTTGACTTTTATACTTGAGTCTTGAGCAGAAGCTCTTGGACACGATTTGGTTAGTCAAGATGGATGTTTTATTCTGTTTTTGTGTTTTTCTTTTCCAATTTGTGATGTCAATTTGATCTTTGTTCAAGTATTTCCTATTGTTTTGTCAAAACCATGATGGTTTCTGTGAAGTTTCTTTGCCATTTCCTTTGCTTGTTTGAAAGGGCTAATGTCCAATGTCCTGTTTCGGGTACTTTCCTGTAAACTTGAAGGTTGAAGCCATCAGATGACAGCATTAGTTTGAACAAATTTTCTCGTCGGAGTGTAGGTTCTTTATTTTCTGGTAAAGGACCACCTTTTGGTATTTTTAATAGTTTTGAGTTATAGACAATGACTTGTGATGGCTTTAATGAACTTGTGGAGAATTCTACAGGAATTGTCAACTTATCAGGGAAGTTTTCCTATGGGAAAAAAACAATAGTTTAGTTTATATGGTACCAGAACCATTTATGGTATAATTAAACAATAAAAACATCATATCATCATTCCTCCAGGCGTATGATCAGTGGTTAAGCATGGCATCCATACATGAATTACTGGAACAGTTTCTTAATAAGTAATTGGCTGTTTGGTTGTTTGTTATAATATCAGGACACAAGTCTGTGTTGTCTGGTTCTTCCCATGCTTTCCTTCATAGATTGCGTGAACATGGAGTTCTCCAAAGCTGTGGTTTGTCTCACATAATTTCTGAATTACCAACAGCTTCCTGCATTGAATTAATGATACCCAGAGGAGATACACTTATTATGTGTGCAACTTATTTTATACCCTTTGATGAAAATGCTCTTGAATGCATCCACTGTAAACTGTATGGTGTTAATGGAAATCTTACTAAGATGCCAGTTTCTTGTGAATCTGAGTGGAAATCTTAGTAAGATAAAAACTGATTCGTGGAAACCCTTTGGTTGATCCTTGAATCCTATGATTCCAATTGAGAGTGGCTCAGATAGAATATCGAGTTGTTGATGTACTAGAAGAGTTCTTTGTATTCATTTAGACAGCAATTTCTATCAGTTACTTTCCGATCTATGTTCTACTTAGTACGTTTGTGGTTCCATTTCCCAAGTGTGTTAGAGTCTTTTTAATAACCTTTATTGAGATACATTGCATTGGTCCAGAAGCTTATGTGATCAGAATGTGGAAAATGGAAGAAAGTAAGTGTGGAAAAAAACATTGTCCTTCTCTATTGTTATACAATTAAAAGAATACATTCATGTCTTAGTCCATGATTAAATGGACAATAAAAGGACATGATGTGAATTCATCGACTCAGAAGCCGTGCCTGGATTGGGTGCTACAGAAATTTCTACAGCATATGTGTATTATATCCAGCTGAAGCTGACATAAAGACAATATAATAGTGATGAATGACATTTTCTGAAGTAGTATATATATCTTACCATCCTTAAGCTGTAACATCGGTATTGCATAGCTGAAATTGGAGTAGGACTTTGGAGGTGTCATAACTTTGAATTTAAAGAATGTTCAACGTAACATTATCCAGTTCTGTGCCATGTGTAAACCCTTTACCCCCTGAGAATGTGAAGGCTAGGTACTGGTTTACATTCAACAAATGAATCCATGTGCTAGAACTTTTCATTTCTCAATGTTTTCTTGTGGTTAGTTTAATTAATGCTTTGTATTAATCCTTTCATTTTATTTTTATTACTGCAGAGCTGATTCCCAGACAAAAGAACTCGGTAAGGTTTTTATGCACTATGTAGTTTCTACATTTGGACATTATAGCTTGTTGGCTCTGCTATGCTTGCTCTATTTTGTAACAGGTCATTGCACCAAAGTATCTCGAAATGTGAACTTGGAGAAATTGAAGAATGGTTATTTATTTCCTGAGGTAACATCCATGATTTTCGATATCTATTTATCTTTTATATGTATGCCAATGGGACATCTATTCTACTGACAGCTTCTATTTTGTGCTAGATCTCAATACGTGAGCTTCAGCATTTTGAAAAGCATCCAAGTGCAAAATTAATAAGCCTCGGGATTGGTGATACAACTGTGCCTATACCAGAACTGATTACTTCACATATGTCTAATGTATGACTTGTTACTACATTTTTATCATCTATTTTCTTTTTTACTTCAGTTGGCTTCTAAAACTCTCGCTAAGAACATGTATTTTTTGATACTGTTATTATTGCAGTATGCACGTGGCCTTTCTACAGCTGCAGGTTATAGAGGGTATGGTCTGGAACAAGGGAATGAGGTAAATATGCTCTATGTATTCGTATATTTTGATGGAAATAGTACATAGCCATTGTCATGTGTGCATTTCTCACTAGCATCTGGTATGTGTTTCCTACTCCCGTGTTTACCAGGGTCCTTGTTAACTTTTCTAAATTGATTTCAAGGAAAGCATTATATTTAGAATCGTTTTCTTGTCTGTTTGTGCTAAACTGGAGCCTCATTTAAGGGTTACCTTGTTACGCATATCTTGCCTGTGACTGTCCATGTTCATAATGATCTGTCTGAAATGAACTTCCGTGACAAATCTACTCGGCTTTATCGACATTTTGTTTTCTATGCCAGATCTTGAGGAAAGCTATCGCTGATACATTTTACAAAAATCTAAAAGTTAAGAGCAATGAGGTTTTTGTATCAGATGGTGCACAGAGCGATATTTCCCGCCTTCAGGTAAGCGAAACAACTGACCTTTTTCTGGTATTTTGTTGTGATCTTATCTGTTTCCTACTTATTTGCTTTATATTTGTAGCTGCTTCTAGGTTCCAATGTCACAATTGCTGTGCAGGACCCAACCTTTCCGGTAACATCACAGTGCTCCTTCCCATATTTGACATTTCTTGTCTACATCAAATGCTTTATTGTGCTCTCTTTAATCCGTTCGCTTAAAAAATTTAATGGTTATGATTGCTTACTTGGCACTGATGATATTAAAAACACTGTCTAGAGCCGAGATTAAAAACACTCTATGAAGCCGAAACCTTCAAAGGGAGAACTTAACATCGTCTTTAAGATAGAGGAAATTTAACTATTTTCTTGATACCTTGTTTCATTCAATTGTCTCATTGAATATAATGTTTCTCTGTAATAAAAATGAAGACGAGAAACACAGCACGGGACAACGATTTCTGGGCGTTATTTTCATAAAACTTTTCTGTGTGCAGGCTTACATAGATTCGGGTGTCATAATTGGTCAGACGAATCACTATAGTGAAGCTACGCAGAAGTACCAGAACGTTGTATATATGCCCTGTGGACCGAAAAGTAATTTCTTCCCTAACCTGGCAATGACCCCAAGAACGGATGTAATCTTCTTTTGTTCTCCAAACAACCCCACTGGTTATGCTGCTTCCCGGAAACAGTTACAACAGTTAGTCGACTTTGCCAAGAGCAACGGTTCAATTATTGTTTTCGACTCAGCATATGCTGCTTTTATCAAAGACGACAGTCCACGATCTATCTTTGAAATTCCTGGTGCTAGAGAGGTAAGGATTGATTACCTGATGAAGCATTTAACTGTTAGTTTTTGTGTTAATAGCCATGCATGAGCAATATTGCATCTGAAAAGAATAGGATGGAAAACATGTTAGATAGCGAAAAAACACAGTTAAGAGAGCACCGCCATTATATGTTGCAGCTTTCCCATAAATGTCTAATACGTAATCATCTTCTGTAATCGGTTTTCTTCCAGGTTGCGATTGAGATTTCGTCATTCTCCAAGTTCGCTGGGTTCACGGGCGTTAGGCTTGGTTGGACAGTCATTCCTGAGAAGCTCTCATATTCAAACGGTTTCCCTGTCATAAATGATTTCCGACGCATTGTGACGACCACATTTAACGGAGCATCAAACATCGTTCAGGCCGGTGGACTAGCTTGTCTTTCTTCTGCAGGCCTCAAGGTACTCATTGCAAATCTAAAAACGATAGTTCTTGAACTCCTGAATGCGCTCGTAATGAGGTGAAGTGAAAAAGTTTCTTGCCTCTGTTGAAGAATTCAGTTTTTATTTTCACTTACTTAGATCCTCTGATGTTTGCATCTCCCATTTTGTTCAAATATTCTTTGTTTTCATCAGTTTCTTCTCCCGGACAATGGTCTAAACTTGTTGAATATTGACATAAAAATGCTGATTATGGTGAAAACATGACAGGATTTACGTGCCGTGATCAACTACTACAAAGAGAATGTGAAGATACTTGTAGACACTTTCGCCTCTGCGGGGTTCAACGTTTATGGCGGCGAAAACGCTCCGTACTTGTGGGTTCACTTCCCGGGCTCGAAATCATGGGACGTGTTTGCTGAGATTCTTGAGAACACTCATATAACGACGGTTCCAGGCTCGGGTTTCGGACCCGGGGGTGAAGAGTATCTCAGAATCAGCGGGTTTGGACACAGGGAAAACATTCTTGAAGCATCAAAGAGGTTGCAGAGTTTCTTCAACAGAGGCAAGCAACATTTTCACCTCAACGGTTCTTCGACTTCTCAGGAACTGAACTAGGCTGGGTTTCATGTTAATACCATGTTTGTGTGAGGGTATTATTGGAATAACAAAAGATATGTTTTCCACTTTTTTTTTTGTTTCCATTTTTGGGTCAATAAGCATGTTTTCATGTTGCCTTGTTGGTATGCTTTCATGTTATAAGAAAAGGGAAATTAAAAAGATGCAAAGAATTCTTAGAAGTTAGAAGTTCTGCGCAACTATTGCATGTCAGTTGAAAGATACAGAGCTCCATGCAAGGGTTATACTTATTAGTCGGAAACATTATTGTTTTTTTTAATATTAAAAAAATAACAGATTTTCGGATATATTGTATATGAATTCAACTCCTTAATTAAATATTCAAAAATCAAATACTTCAAACGTATAAAAGATAAACGGTAAAAAATACAAATTAAAAATAATCAAAATACAAAGTTTTACCACATGTGCGAGATAAAAAAAATAAAAGTTCCATAATAAAGTTCAATAGTATCTATCTTGATTTAAAAGAAATTATGTAAGGAAATGTATATATTTCTGTAATCACTCATGTACCATTTCTGTTTCTTTTCTTTTCTTGGGATGTTAATTAAATTCAAAATCCGAAACCGGTCTGATCCTACCCAAAAATAATAAGGACGTGGATCTAAAAAATATAGGTTTATTAAACTTCGGGCTTTCAAGTCTCGGGCTAAATAGGCTGCGGGATAGTCGGGTCTCGGGTCAAGTTTGAGGCCAGTTAAATTTTTTGTTTATTTTTTCTACCCTTTTTTCTAAACTAAAATTTTACCTCTTTATGATTATCCTAACTCTTTTTTGACCTTAGACCCTTTTGTTGAGTCACCGCTATCGACGTTTGTATTGTGCTTCTATTACTTCGTTTCTATTTTTTTTTTTTTGTTTCTGAGATTTCTGTTTGTATTTGTTGGAATCAGGTTTGATTTTTTTTTTCTCTCTCGCCATATTAGATTGGGTAATCCTCTTTTATATTATTTTTTTCTGTTAAATCAAATCTAATGCTTGCTATATTTGATTATGTTTTTGTGTTTTGTATTTTTCTCCTCATATGAATTGGTTTTGTTTTGTACCAATGGGTTGAGTTCCAATTAACACTTTTTTAAAATGACGAAAACTTTTATTTTTTTTAACCATATTACATCATATATATATATATATATATATATATATATTAGTTTATGTAAAAGCTTCCAAATATATATATTTTTAAACATTTGTTTGCATACGAATATATTAATTCTTTTTCTACGGGTTTTAAATTAATTGCATCATAAAATATCTTTTTATATTATGTTTGCTATTTTTTTAAATGTTTCATAATATTATTATTATTATTATTATTATTATTATTATTATTATTATTATTATTATTATTATTATTATTATTATTATTATTATTATTATTATTATTATTATTATTATTATTATTATTATTATTATTGTCATCATCATCATCGTAGGAAAAAAACCCGAAGCTTAACCAAAACCCGCTCAAAGCCCTATAAAATTGGACTCCGGGCCAGTGATCCTAGATCCGAAAAATAAATAGGCGGATCGGGCCGTCCAAAAAATTCTAGACCCGAATTGAACCTAGCCCCGTCCACCCATTTTACACCTTACAACATTGTCTACGTATTGTATATATATGTTTCTGATAATGCAATAATACAGAGCACCGTTTTCCACCATCTTCGTCTTGCTTTTAATGTTGTTTATATATTTTATACAATTAGATATATATATATATATATATACATACATACATAATTACATATGTATAATATATATATACAAAATATGTATAAATGTGTATATATGATATATGTATATATATATATATATGCATATATATACCATATACAAATATATATATGCTAAATTTTGTATATATATATAATTACATGTATATATATACAAAATATACAATTACATATATATATATATACATAAATCTATATGTTACATTTTGTGTATATATAAGTGTATAGATACATATTATATATATATATGTAATTATGTATATATATATGCATATCTAAATGTATAAAATATAAAATTTTATTTTTATTTTTTTAAAATACTTTTTTGAAATCTATATTTTAAACATATTTTTTTTATTCTATTTGTACTTATTTATTTATTTTTATTTTGATGATTTGTTATTTTGATGACTTAATTTTTTTTATGACGTGGCGCAGATGTGGCGATGACATAGATTTTTCGGTCAACCATGTCATCGCTTTAAATCGAAAATTATTGTCGGATTTTCGGAATATAGGGATTTGGGAGAAATTTTCAAATTAATATATTTTTCTTGGGAGTTAACAAATTCATGTATTTCTTAAATATTTTTTTAACAAATCCATATATTTATTTAGAATTTTCTCATATATAAAGTGATGGGACAAAAGTATTTTTCAACCTAAGTTCGAATATCCATTTGGATAGGGTTATTCATTTGTATTTCTCCGATGTTCTGATAGATATAGTTAGGTCGAAAGTAGAGTAAACTTCCGGATTATCATATATATATTCTTTGAATATTCTTCGTTGATCTTTTTATATATATATAAATTTATACACTGTAACACGTTGAATTTATCAGATTATTTTTATAAAAATTTTCACAATGCGTTATAAATTCCATGATCGAAAAAAATAAGATTTACAACTATAATCTTTGAGAGGTTCGAATCTGGTTCGGACGAGGTGGAGTTAACCCGGACCGATCGACAATCGAACATCAAATTTGTAAACATGAGCCCAGTAAATTTTTTTTGTTGGTAAAACACGAGCCCAGTAAATCTGACGGGTTGATAAAATACTTATACGAGATGGTTTTATCGAAAGCGTAAGGAAACATCGAAAAAATAACCAATGTCGGGTAACATGGCAATTGATCATCTACACTATTTGGACAGAAAGGAACATGCGGATGCATACATCTACGTCCAAGGACACTTCGGTTGTCCGAAAGGAGATAGATCGGGTATTTAGGAACAAAATGGCTGCAATACGACTATCCAACCCGGCACTTGGGAACTCCCTATTACAAATCTGGTTCTCCAATCCATGACATTGTATTTCCTGATTAACAGCGAGGGATTACGAACTACGTACGAGTGACCAAATATTAGCTTTTTATTTCTAATTTTTTTTTTATGAAACCAAAAATTTGGTTGCATTGATTTCATGTGTTTTCCCCTTCAAAGGAACGCTGCCCAAATCCAAGGGTCATGCCAAACTCTTGCTTCTCCATTTTTAAGGAAAAAAAAGGTCACAAAAATGGTAAATATAAACGATTAAAAATATATATACTCACATCCGCATCCATATGCACATTTTCACACAGATATACACACACGTATATACATTTATACGCTTATATATTCATGTACAAAGATATTCACGTATAGACGTATACATATATAAACCTTTTTTTGTAACTGAGAGATTTAATGGACTTTCAACTTAACTAATCTTCATATTTAAAACAGCCGTTGTATTCGTTTATATATTCATGTACAAAGATATTCACGTATAGACATATACATATATAAACTTTTTTTTTTGTAATAAATCAACTTAACTAATCTTCATATTCAAAACAGCCGTTGTATGATATAAATTTTTATTTATCTAAACACTCGTCTCCAGATCTTGATTCGAATTCGAGGTAAGAGTGTACTTTACATGAGTTTTTTATGCATATATACATTTATACGCAACAACACGTGAAATTTATCAGATTATTTTTATAAAGATTTTCACAATGCGTTATAAATTCCATGATGCGGAAAAAATAAGATTTACAATTATAATCTTTGAAAAAACAAAAATATGGCCGAACTATTTGGCCACGAAACCATCAAACTTCATGTGCTATATTCTCCTATAACACCTAATCAATAGGTTCATGAGATTTCCCTCACCTATAAAATGCAATGAACCTCCGACGACATATCAACATACACTTTAAATAATATTTCAATAGGGTATAATATCATTTGAAAAATGGCCTCTCTTTGGCTCGGCTCACCTCTTATTTACAGAAATGCCCCTTGCGGAGCAACGGAAAATCGACGTCGTACTCCTCAGCGTTTCGTTTGCCCCGTCGTCGCCAAAACCACGTCCGCGGAGGCTGCCGTTGTTCGCCGGTCTGCGAACTATCAGCCTTCTCATTGGGACCAGAATTGTATCCACTTGCTCCAGAACGAATATGCCGTAAGTACATCTCCGTATATTTTTGTGTGTGTATGTATGTATGCGAGATATACAAAAATTAAGATCACCAAACACGTATATGTCATATATAACACGTTTTAGTAACCGAGCAAGGCGCGTCAATCACTCTAAAATGGATGATAAAATCGGCCATAGCCATAGTTATTTTTTTTGATAATTAGGTATTTTGGGTCGAAGTCAAGACTCATGTGAATGTCTCTCCCCAAAATTAAGATTCGAACTCAAGACGGACAGATGCTAAACGCCACCGTTTTCCGAAATTGACCACCTAGTCTGATTAATCTCTTGTCTTACATGCATATATATATGTGTGTGTATATATACGTATGTATGTTGATCTTAACAATAATGGAATATAGATGCAAAGCAACTTCCAGGAGAGAGCTAAATTGTTAAAGGAAGACGTGAGAAAGACGCTACATGAAACCGAAGGTCCTCTCAAACAGCTCGAGCTCATCGACACACTTCAAAGGCTTGGAGTCTCGCATCATTTCGATCACGGAATCGAAAATATTTTAAAGGAAATCTACGCTGCGAGTCTCGAAAACGAAAGAATGAGTAAGAAAACCGAAGATTTACACACCACGGCGCTCCAATTTCGCCTCCTTAGACAACACGGTTTTAACGTCTCAGAAGGTAATTAACTAACGACATAATTAAACTTCCTAAAAATACTAATCTGTATATGATTGTAAGAAAAGCTAGCAACTAAATTAGATAATATTTAGATGCAGTGTTATATGAACGAGACGGGAGTTTCAGAGAAGTTGGCGCGTGAACACATGACGGGAGTCATCAGCGATGCATGGGACGTGATGAACGACAGGATAACGACGTGCATGAGTTCTTCACACGATCGACGTTTTCTCCGGTCGGCGCTTGATTTGGGACGCATGTCGCAATGCATTTATCTGTACGGCGATGGACAGGGTTGCCCTGACAAGGCCAACACCACCGATCGTGTCCGGTCTTTGCTCTTCAACCCTGTTCCACTCGACTGACCAATACCTTGAGAAAGCGACGGGATCATATTGTATCCCGCACGTGTTCAGTGTCAAGATTTGCGGAATAACGTGTTGTGCATTATTGATAATCGGATGAGTTTAAATATACAATTTAGTTCTCTTTTAATAGAATTCGTAATTCATATCACAGTATGATAAAGAATAGATAAACAAACCAGATAGGAAACACATTAAAATATCTAAACTCTATATGGATTGAAATTCTTCATCGTTTCTAATACTCAGACCCAACAAAATTATCTTGATATTTAAAAAAAAAATAGTTTACAAAAGTGTATAGTTTTTGGTACACATCGTAAATAAACATTTATTTTATATGCTTTGAAAAGAATTTGTTTTTATCTGCGTTTTTTTAGTCAACACGTTATACATGTGAGGAATTCACTAATTTTGTTATATAGCTTATAGCTAATTCCTCTGCATATGTGTGGACAAAATACTCACAGACAGCCCATTAAAACCATGAATTTAATGGATTAACCATTTAATCCATTACATATTTAACTAAAATTATTATATATAGATATATAAATATATATATATATATATGTATGCATTTATATGCGAGTATAATATAACAATCGATTGATATATATCTTGGTAGAACTAAATGACCCAAACCGAAAAATGAAACGCTCACCCCTATATTATATGCGTATATACGAGTATGCATGTATGTACAATCCGCTCCGTCAATTCTTACTCCCCAAATGGGTTGGGTTCACCCAATTGAATCTCTAGGTACTACGGGGATGAGATCCGTAACGAGGAAGAGGCGAATCTGTTCAAGAAGCTGGTGGCTGAGACCATCGACAATAGCGGCGCGAGCCACCCGGCCGATTACTTGCCTTTCTTGAAAGTGTTCGGACATAAGTACGAGAAGAAAGTGAAGGCGATTGGTGAAGCCATGGACGAGTTCTTACAGCGTCTGCTCGACGACTGCAGACAAGACAAGGACGGAAACACCATGGTCAGTCACTTGCTGTCTCTGCAACACAGACATCATAATCAAAGGCCTCATGCTGGTAAAATAACCTCACTAATCCATCTCTCATCACAAAGAAACCCTAAATCTCATATACGAACATAAATTTTGCTGATTCACTCTGCTCAAAATCCCAAATGCAGGCAATGATGCTGGCCGGAACAGACACATCAGCCGTGACCCTGGAATGGGCAATGTCCAATCTACTCAAACATCCAGAAGCATTGAACAGGGCAAGATCAGAAATCGACGAGAAGATCGGACAAGACCATCTGATCGATGAACCAGACATCGACAAACTCCCTTACCTCCAAAACGTTGTGTCGGAGACATTCCGGCTATACCCGGCGATACCACTCCTGGTCCCTCGCTCGCCGACGGAGAACATCAAAATCGGAGGGTACGACGTGCCGAAGGACACAATCGTACTGATGAACGCGTGGGCCATACACAGGGACCCGGAGCTGTGGACCGACCCGGAGAAGTTCGAGCTGGAGAGGTTCGACAACCGATGCGGCGGAGAAGTGGATGTTCACCGGATAATGCCGTTCGGGAACGGCCGAAGAATTTGTCCCGGAGCCGGACTGGGACAGAGGATCGTGACATTGGCGTTGGGATCGCTGATTCAGTGCTTCGATTGGGAGAAAGTAAATGGCGAAGAGATCGATATGAGAGAGAGAGAGACTCCGGGCATGGCGATGAGGAAGATGGTGCCTTTACGGGCCTTATGCAGGCCTCGGCCCATTATGAATAAACTTCTGGCCAAGTCAGCGGCTTGACTGTTTTATCTGAGAATTGAGCTAAAATATTTTCATTTAAAAATAATCTACCTAACCTAGCGTATTAACGATAATATTAGATTATTACATGGGTGCTCTTTTTTTATTTTTATTTTTTATAATCTCAAAGTTTATCAAATCCTTTGATCTAATTATCTTCCACACGATTAAAAAAATTCAGATAAATATCTCTTTTCAAATAGAGACTCAAACCTAAGAAAAAACTTTATTGCATTCCTTACAAACTATATAATCTTGTATTTTTATTTTTCTTATCAACACCTTTTATAATTTATCGAATTTCATGTTATTCTATTTCGCAAACCATTATATTTTTGCAATTCTACATATTATTAATACTATTCTATTATTCCACAACTATGAAATCAAATACCTTCATACGATTTACCTTCATTATAAAAGATAGATCAGATAATATACAATAACTTGTTTTTGTCATATTCAAACTTGGATGATTCAACCGGTTTTTTAGTTTTAGTCTGCGCATTTGCATCACCTTTTTTTCAGCATAACTGCTAAACTACCGCATCCTTTGCACCATCGATAACACTGGTGTTACTCATCTTCATCACCATATATCTACATCATGCATTCTACGTCACACCAGACTTTTCAAATCCACCAATAATTCACTATTTAACCATATTCAGATCTTAAATCCAACTATTATCTTTAGAATTTAAATTCAAATAGTTATTTGTAATCAAAACATATATAAAGAAGATTATAGAAAATCATCAAGTTATAATGAAGATTATTACAATATTAGATAATATTTAGATTTAATATTATTTCTATATATTAAATATTATATTAATTATACAAAGATATTTTGTGATTCTATCTCTTATAAATATTATAATATTCTATTTCGAATAACGAAAAATCTGTATTTTTTTAGTTTTGTTTTATTTTCAATTTTTAGTATTTTTTACCTGAATTTATTTATTTTTTTAAATTAAGATATCGAATGGATAAAATTTTTATTTTTAATTTTTGGTTTTGGTTTTTGAATTTTAGATTTTGGTTTTTAATTTTTTTAAATCTAAAAAAAGGTTTTTAAAATTTTTAGTTAATTTTTTAATAAATTTTTATAAAAATTTGATTATTAATTTTTGAATTTTAAAAACTTTAAAAGAATCTTCCATTCAAAAGCACATAGGTTTTGGAGGATTCTTTTGTTGTCATCCCGTAAATCAAGCAGGTGAATGACACGTTTGGAAGTCTAAATATTCCAGATACTGCCACGTGTTCCTACACTAATCCATGATAAAACAAAGGAACCAAAAAGTCACCACTGCCAAACCTAATTACCAAAACAATTGGTGAGCTCAATAACAGACACGTATCCCGGAAAAAACAAAACTAAAACGACACGTAATTACTTATAAACACCGACCAACACAATTAAATTCAATATTAAATTCCACGTCACGGTTCAAACCGAAGACGGTTCCGTTGTATGACGTCGGAGACATAACCAAGCAACACGTAGGCATCACAGCCATCCTCCACAGACCACGTGTCCATGTTTGTCGCAGTTCCTGACTCCGCCACGTGTCCATACCCTCACAAAAACCTCGTACGTGAACTAAAGATAGAAGCCCATTGTGTGTGTGTATATATATGCATCATGTCTTCATAAGTAACATATTCATTTTCCTTGTTCCATTTTTTGATTTGTCATTAAGAAGAACTCTAATATTTTCATTAACTGGTGGAAGAGAGGAGACAAAACCTTGGAGATGTTGGAGAGGAAGTCTTCGATCGAGACGGAGCCCGTGACACTGCATCTCAATCAAATGCGACATGCTAGAGTACGTATACGTACGGATCTCTCTCTCTTCCATACGTATATATAATTACGTACACCCTTCTTACTGCTTGTGTGTATATACATGCACATATGTATCTGCAGGAGGCTGCAATGTTGGTGTTACAGACAAAAACAATGGAGGAAGCTATGAATATTTTCACTCAGGTAATCGATATATGACTCGTACCACGTGAACTTTTATCGTCTTAGGTAATCAATATATATAAATATATATGTGTGTGTGTATATATATTTGATATGGGTTTTTTTTGGGAAAGCAGGGACTAGAGGCAGTGAGGGAGAAGAAGAGAGGGGGAGGTTGTAATGTGGAGCTAGACGACGATGACGACTACGATTTGCAGCTTATGAGGCAGCGTCTGGTGGAAAACGCGTACAGAGACACCGTCTCTGCGCCCTTCTGAACGTCGTCAGTTGATGATTTAATCCGACAAAATCCGAATTCTCTGAAACATTTTCATGACTTTCGAATCTATAATCTCGAGGAGAAAGTTGTGAATCTTTTGACGATGCTACCCTGTTTTTTATTTATTTCTTCGGGTGTTTTTGTAAAATACTCAAGATTTGCACTGGTTTCTTTCCCCTTTTTGTTGCATGATTCTCTCTCTTCTAGTTGTGTTGTTGTTCTTGTAATTTTCCATAAAAGGAATGCGACGAGGGCTTTAAGTTGAGGAGATGAACGGTTTATCGTTGTGGTGTTGAATTCAAGAATATTAATACACAAGTGGAATCGAAGTTGGAAATACGTGTCAATTTTGGTCCGTCGTTTCGGTACGGTTCTGGGACGAGATATTTTATTCCAAAATTTAACGGGTCGATTCGAAGACCGGGTTTTGGATTTAATTATTTAGGTTTAAAAAAAAATCGGATCGATGTGAGTTCGAATCCAAAACCTTTGGGTGGAGTCCGATTGGCGAACGAATGTTATATTTTACGTTTTTGTTTTGTTAAATGAGTGTTTAGAAGATTTCGTGAGGGAATTTGGTACTTAGCACTTGTAATGAAGATTTCCACAAAAGTTTTCTCTGCAGTTTCTTTGATCTTCCTCTGTTTTGCTAGTGTTTCTCGATTCTGGTAACGTCCCGCGTCGGATCTTATCTCCGGGGTCCGATTTCTCCCATCGATTCGGATTCCACATTCGATCCAGTCCAAGAGAACGCGTGCGGTGCCGAGTCTCAGATCCGAAATCGCAGTCGGAGGGTCTTCGGGCACCGAAAATTGAAGTGTCGGTCTCGGTTGCGGGTATGGGTTCGGGTTCTGATTGTAGGTCGGAGAAGGAGGCGGCATTCGACGCGAGGTTGAGTCTGAAGGAAAGAAACGGTGGGGTTTTGATCCTGAAGCTGAGTTCGGTTGTTTTAGCGGCACTGATTGCGGTAAACAAGAAGTGTCCTTCTCCTTCTTCTCCGCCCTCATCGTCTGGGCTGAAGCATCAAATGTCGAGAATCTCGAGTCCTTCATGCAGCCACTGATATTCTTGAGGTTGGTAAATTACGTTCCTTTCCGCTTGTTTCTTCTGTGTTTTTTGGGTACGTATGCTATAGTTGAAATGGCGCAGTGGCGGAACAAGCTGGTAATAGAAAGAACCTCAAATGTGACACAGGCTTTATTTAGTTTGCTGTATGACCAGATCTGTGTCCTTGCCAACAGGTGAAGGGTTATTGCATTACATGAGTTGAATGAAACAGAAATTAAAAGAAAAGAGATCAGTGTCTGAATAGATAAACTCATACATCTTTAGCTGAAAACCCTGCCCCATAGTTCGATCTATGCTGATGATGAAACTTGTAACCATGAACAGGTAGCGGCTGGCATTAAATTTACAGTGGCTGTCATGTCGTATCTTGAAGCTGTTCCTTGGCAGTTCTAATGGCTTTTTGAACTTTGATGTTGCCGCAACCAGTGAAATTTTACCAAGATTTAACTCAAATGAGGCGGAAAGCTCACATCAAAGCAAATGGTTTGGTCCATCACCTCCTGCAGTGAAGAAACGAGCTCAAGTCTTTGGCCAAGGGTCTTCTTTGCAAAAGTTCAGCATATGAAAAAGAACAACCCGATCTCAGCAAGGAAGATATCTACGCGGCGGCATGCAGCTCTTGTTTGGACTCACTAGCCGACCTTATTGAAGAGGCCTACTACTACCACCTCGACGAATGCAGAGTTAAAACAGACCAGCAAATGCAAGCCTTTGATCGAAAACGCTTCAAAGGCAGGTGGGTAACGTCAATTGGCTGCTAGAGATCATGGTGGATCGAAGCAAAGAAGACTAGTTTAAAGGCATCAAAGGGCATCTCCCATGGCGAGGTACCGAGTTAACCCGAGTGTCTTGGGGTTCTGTTCATTCCAATGGGCAGTGCAGATCCGGGTCTGAGGATTGGGCTTTTACCAACATGGTTTAAGACCGATGTTAGTAGACTTTGGTTGGCTCCAAAGACGACATGAGGCGAGTGGAGGAGGGGTTGCGCCACACTCTCCCAACGCTTCCCCTTGAGCAGCAGCAATATAATCTGTTCATGGAATGGTTCAGGCGGCACACTTCCCCTTAGTATTTGAAATCTTTTTTCTAAAATAATATTCTTTCATTAATTTTAATTATTAGATTACGATTATCTAAAAAAAATTATGATATTTTTATTTTTCTATTAAGAATAATGTTGTTATTACTAGAATTATTAAATATGAATTTTGTATTAATACTAAAACATTCTTTGGTAATTTTCATATAAAATCTAAACATCAATCGAGAACTAAAATATTATTTCTAACAATAAAAGTTTTTATAAAAATACTATAAAACTAAAAATTTAAAATTTTAAAAAATTTAAACCCAAAACTCAAGAAAAAAAAAACTATCCCCCGTATTTTCTTTTATGTAAAAATAGAGTACCGTAGAAGCAGTGGCGTTTTCAGTAATATGCTCAAACAATTGGGTGAAAATGAGAATGGGGAGATGAAGAACGAAGAACCGACTGCGCAGACGTAAACCGCACGCGCGCTAATGGATTAAGTAAAATGAGAAATTATTAAGTTGATAATTACAATTAATAATACCAATTAATAAGCAAATCGCGGTACTGTGCCACGTCATCCGTTGTCCCCTTACCCAACCACCCCTTGCTTAGCTGTCCACTACCCTCCTTTTTTCATTTTTATTTTCTTATTTTAATTTTAATTTTCATTTCACTAGGCCCCACACTCTCTCGCTGTGCTCGCACCCCGCTTTTCTCTCTCCGCTCTTCGCGTTCACATCTCTCTCTCTCTCTCATCTTCTTCTCTCTTTCCTTCATCTTCCGTATACAATCTTCTTTCTCACGCTCAACTCGAGATTCTCTATCTTTTTCTCTCTCCGATTCCCGGAAATCCCCGTTGAATTCTCTCTCTGCGATTCAATTGTTTTCCCTCTCTCTGAAATGCCTGCTTGGTGGGCGAGAAAGTCCGGGAAAAGCAAGGACGATAGCCATAACCGAAATCGTAACCAGATTGCTCATAACCAAAGTCCTCGTGGGGTTGACAGGAGAAACAGAGGAATCATCTCCGGCGAGAGTAAGACCAGCCTCGATGAGCCCGTAACTCCCACGCGCGGCACTCCGCGTTGTAGCCGCGATTTCGCCGGCTTCGATTCGGATTCCGGAGAGAAGAGAGGACACCCGCTTCCCAGACCGTCGGTTTCTTCGATCCACAGCGATCATGGAAGCGGGTCGGGTTCTGTTTCCAGCGTCAGCTCGTCCGGCTCGGCTGATGATCAGGGTCAACTCGGTAGTTGCAGGTTTGTATTTGCATCTCCCGTGATTGCTTCAACTTTTGTGGGTACAAGGGATAGGTACTTGGATTATGATCTTAGGTTTCTGATGAAAAGTTCCTTAATTTTCGATTGAAATTGTTGATTTTATTGAGTGAATGACAACTTTGTATACTGAATCTGCATATGTAGCTTGTTATTGTTTCATCAGCTAGTAAGAACTCGAAACATGGCAGAATTGTGTTTGTGATGGAATTGGTTGGTGTGATTCTGAATTCATATAGCTATATAGCAGGGGAAATGGCGATCTGAAATTCAACATAGCACCACCACGTAGTCCTGGGAGATGTTCCCCGAGGCCCACATCTCCGTTGCATTACCCTTCGTCCGGTGTGATCTTAGACTCTCCTGCGGAATGTCATCCCCTGCCTTTACCTCCGAGTTCCCCGACAAGCCCTTCTGCTGTGCACGGCTCCAGAACTGGAGGTGGATCCGAGACCTCGTCACCTCATAGTGTATCCAAATGGAAGAAGGGAAAGCTGCTGGGGAGAGGCACCTTTGGACAAGTTTATCAAGGATTTAACAGGTGAAATTGGGATTCTTCTGTTGATTTGCTCGGGGAGAATTTACTGAATTGAGAATCTGGCAAGGAGGATGTAGTTGGAAGCACGTTTTGGCTATCGCAGCTGCTTTTAGGCGATGATAGTTAGCTTTATTTGGTCAAGTTATTATACTGTCTTTGGAGATGACCTTGGGTAGGGTGATGTTCCGTGCCATGGTAGATAACGGGTTTGAGGCTAATTATCTCTTTGGGTACAAAGAAGTATCATATGCCACGAGTCCACAGACCATTAAGAGCTAATTCACTAAACCAGTCTCCAAAGATGAAAAACATTTGTAGGATGGAGTATTTCAATGTTTTCATAGACGGGTTATCGGTCCAAACATCGTCCTAGCAATTACTTTTGTTGCATTGAAGTTTAATGGTTAATTGCCTCAGTGACTGGACCTAAATGGGAAGTTTAGTTGGCGCTGCTTCCTAGAAAATGGCAATAGAATGCTTATGTTTGCCATCTCAATAATAATAAAAAGCTAGAATTTCAAATATGTTTATCTAGTGGTGTTATCATAGTGATTTTCCCGATCCTTACAGTGAGAAAGGGAAAATGTGTGCAATAAAAGAGGTCAGGGTCATTTCCGACGACCAAACATCAAGGGAATGTCTTAAGCAACTGAATCAGGTTTGTCTTGTTACGCCCCTTATTCGTCGTTGCTTTCAGTCTTTGATTTTCACTTGATGTATGCTCTTATATTTCTTTCATTCGTGTAATGTTTCTTTATTTCTGTCTGCAGGAGATAAATTTGCTGAGTCAGCTTTCTCATCCTAATATTGTTCAGTATTACGGAAGTGAACTGGTATTTTTCACTTGCCAAGCTTGTACATGTAAACTTGGTATATAGAGACTGTACTGAAGCCCGGTTTGACATGAGTCTGGTCAATTTTTATGCTCGTAGAGTGAAGAAACCTTGTCCGTGTACTTGGAGTATGTATCAGGAGGCTCAATCCATAAACTGCTCCAGGAGTATGGTGCTTTCACTGAGCCTGTCATCCAAAACTATACGAGGCAGATTCTCGCTGGACTTGCCTATTTACATGGAAGAAATACGGTGCATAGGTACTGTGGCCGTTATATAAGTTTATGTAACTTCGTTGGTTTCTTATTTGAAATCTGACAAGATTTTGTTCCTCATGACAGGGACATAAAAGGGGCAAATATACTGGTGGATCCGAATGGGGAAATCAAGTTGGCAGATTTTGGGATGGCCAAACACGTTAGTATCTTAACAAACTTGATTTATAAGAAAATTTGGGACCTGAATGTTCTTTTGCAATGTAATGCCATCTATAGGGTTGGAAAAACATCTCTTTTTCTTTCTTAACTCAATGAAAGTGTTATATTTCTTACATTTGCTTGCTGAATTGCTGATAATGTCTTTGTGGAACAGATTACGGCATGTTCTTCCATGCTTTCTTTCAAAGGAAGTCCTTATTGGATGGCACCCGAGGTATTTCTTTTGTCATGTCTCTGTATTGTTTCGGGAGAAACATAATTTTTAGCGCTTTCCTGTACTGAGAGAATATTATGTTCTTGTGGCTTGATGAAAATTTCATCCCACTTCGTTTTTCTGTTCCAAAACTGTCAGGTCGTGATGAACACAAACGGCTATAATCTTGCAGTAGATATTTGGAGTTTGGGATGTACAATTCTTGAAATGGCAACAGCAAAGCCACCTTGGAGCCATTACGAAGGGGTATGATACTAAAAATAAAATTTCTGGTTTGAGCCCATCGGTTTGTTGACTTTTAAGTTATCTCGTGGCGTTGTATTCAGGTTGCTGCAATATTTAAGATCGGAAACAGCAAAGACATCCCAGAAATTCCTGATCAGCTTTCAGATGATGCAAAGAATTTTATACGCCTTTGTCTGCAAAGAGACCCGTCAAAACGTCCTACAGCATCACAGCTTTTGGAGCACTCGTTCCTTCGGGAACACACAATGAGAGTCACTAATGCTAGCATGACTAAGGACACTTCCCCACATGCCTCTGATAGAAGCCGGGCACTGGTATGCCGATGGATATGATGTTATATGGATATCTCAAAACCAGAATTCTTACTTTTATTAATTTGATCTAATGCTGCATCTCTGGAAACATATTTGTCTGAATCAAGCTAAATTCCATTTTTGTTTCTCCTCAAGCAGCCAACAGTGGAACTTTATTCAAGGAGATCGAGCCATGACAATTATGCACAAACACCGTTGGCTGTATCATCACGAGCCATAAAGAGCCCAAGGTAAAAGAGTTGTACCCGATCCATTTGATTATGCTTAATAGTCGGTATTACATCTCAAAACTTTCCAGATAGTCTTTTCCAATCTGACGTCTACTTTTTTGCAGCAGAGAAAATGTTAGAGCAATTGCTTCCTTGCCGGTATCTCCATGTTCAAGCCCTTTACGCCAAAATGGACCGGCGTACAAAAGTTGCTTCCTATCCCCTCATCACCCATCTTTCCCGTTCGCCGGGCAAGACAGTAACTACAATCTGTCAGAGTTTGCCGCAAGGCCTTTTAGGGCCAACACAGCTTACACGAATGACAAGACGATGGTTGAGCCTTCTATGTTCAGACCTCAAACCCCAGATAAATTTATGAGATCAAGACTGTTATAGAAATGGAGCAAACAAAAAAATCCGAGAAACCAGAAATCTTTGCCCTCATGCTCTTAACCCCGTATCGTTTACATGAACAAGGATCATGTAAAATGGCGCCTCTCCCAGGAGATGAAGGTTGGAACAGTGGATAGTGAAGAAGAAGATGCAGGAGGGATAGGTGTAAATGGAACAAGAAAGGGGGTTGTAAAGGAACATGAATAGAAGATTCAAGTCATATATTGGTAGATAGATAAGATCAAAGCTGATAAATGATACAGTACACTGTGTGGAGGGGGGGAGGGGGCATATAGGAAGCACTAGATGTAATGCTTTGGGGACCTTGCTCTTGTCGTTTTGTTGTAAATCAATTTGGTTTAGGTGTAGAAAGCTATCTTCTTAATTGCGGTTAGAGGTTCGGTTTCATATTGGGAATATTGATTCCAATCAGATCCAAGTGAATTCCAAATCAAATCTGTTTGAGTTTTGGGCTGGGATTGGAAAATCAAGTAGCCTCATTAATTCCAATAATGAGATAAGAAATAATGTTATTTATTTAATGCCAAAATTATGATATTCCTTTTCTCATTGGTTGTTATCAATAAATAGAATGGTATCCTACAGAGACAGGAAGAGAGGACAGTGACAGTGGTCCTCCAAGGCAAGACGGCTAATAAACGACAGAGACAACGATGTGGATGTATTTTCTTATCTCTTTCCTTTTTTCTTAACAATTCTGCCACATTTTTTTTATAACCAAACTAATTTCGGGATCGGAAG